CGCCGCCGGCCTGCAGCGCCCGCCGCCGCCCGCCGCCGGCCCGGCCGCGCCCGGACACGCCGATACCAAGCGCAAGATGTCCTCCGGCGCTATACACAGCCGCAAGCGGTCCTCCATCTCCGAGAGAAAGAGTTCCGTATAGCGATAGCTCGCTTCTTCCTCTGTAAAGGACTTCTTCGTTCGCTCGAGACTGGCCCCCGGTGACATGGCGGCCTGTCCACTAGCTAGGTGTGAATCGGTAGAACAAATTTTGGTCTTTCACGTTTTATGCATAATTTTAATGTTAACGCCATATCAAGTGAAAGCCTCCATTTTAACTAAATTGTCTCTTGTGATTAGATTAGTCTAGGATTTCGTTACTTCCCCCGTATGGTAATGTTTTAGTTGTAAGTCGATGTCCATGAAATGGATGACAATAGTTAAGTTACTAAATTATAACGTATTATACTTTCCTCTTGTTCTGATGAAGTTAGATCTCATGAGGTCGCCGTCGACCTGTGACGTATCACTGACACACCCACATTAGACTGACTGCACGCTATGAGAACCTTGCCACAGTATTCTAGTTCATATAACATTATAATAGATAAATTATAGTCAAACGCATTTTGTCGTAGGTTTAATGTAATGCCTCGTACAATTCGGGTAAACGTTTAAACTTCAAATCCCGTGATTCCTAATAAGGCTAACGAATTAGTAGACCAAAAATATAATCAGGCTAACAATTTGATGTCAAGTTACAGGTTTCCATTAACGTAGGATAATGCGCAATAATTAGCAGATTCTAATTTGAAGAAGTGCCTTCCTCTTCAAAGAAATAGAGCTTAGGAATATACAAGACATAGACGGATGTTCTATATAAACTTGACTGGGCTATCAAAACCAGACTGATCGAGAAATAACACAGATCAAAATGTAATTTGTTGAAAGTGACTAGCTTATAATTATTTAAGTAGGACGTAATGAAATTGGAAGTTGAAATATAAATAAATTGGATGTTACAATTTTGGAAGAATTGTGTGAAATGTTTGTTTTAACATGTATTGTTACAAAGACTGCAGGGTTGCAATGCCTTACTCTCGTCTCACGCTGACGCTCCGCTGACGTGGTTCTCACACAAATGATCTTAGGTAAATCATCAAAGTGTTCACAACTTATAATTAAGTGAAATCAATTTACATGTCCATATTTTATCAGCTCGTCGTGGTGTAATCATATCCCCATGCTAGAGACTGTTGCGACTTTATTATATAGTTATAATAAAATACTATAAACACTCAATATTTTTACAATTTAGTTATGTTAACATAATTCCATTTTCCAATGCTGATTTGAATGACACTCTATTTTGTTATTTTTTATATTGTTCCATTTTAAGTATATGTTCAGTAAATTGTACTTACGATGAAATGAAATATAACAATTATTTTCAAATACTACGTTTCATTTTCTCGTCCACGGAACAAATCGTGGCCGTGATCTATCTACCCTCTACCGGTGCTTTACCAACACTACACTTCAGAATAAACTCTAAAGAGGTTATAAAAAGAGTTCAGATACCCACAAATAACATGTAGCCGAAAAAAATATTAAAATTAGAACTGTCAACGGTAACCAAATAAAGAGAAAAATGGAAAGCCATTTGACAAAGTTCACAAACTGAAATTTGTTGTTAAATATGTCACATTCGAGGAATGCACACAAATTATCTGATAAAAGTAGAACAGACATTCCGGCAACCGATAGAAATGAGGACGAAGGTAAGTTCGGCGGCGAGTGGCGCGTGACGCCGCGCGCGACACGTCAAGTGATCCAATGTATTGTTTGTTGTAGGGGAAGTTATAAGTTGTAACGCCACCGAGAGCTGCACTTACGCTGGTATGTATGTCTCCATCCCCCCACAAGTTCAGGGGACTGACAAGTGTCTTATTTTTCACTGTTCTCATAAGGAATTGTGACTTGCATTAATTGCTCTCAAGAAATTGTTTTTTTATTTGATGACTGTACGTTCATTACAGTGACTGTTTCGAAGAAACCCTCCCCCTCAAGCGAGGAAGGTGCCTTGTGTTCTGGTCAAAAGTCGTTCATAAGTATACACTCAACTGACCAGTTGTGTCAAGTGGCCTACGTAGATAACCCAACGAACCTCGAAGAGTGCAACTTGGAAGTTCTGAGCCTCAACGAAGTGTTCCCTTCGACGTCAGAAGAGAGCCTCTCGAACGAAGATGATTCACCTGTTCAAAGAAAGCAAAAAAACTCTAACAAAAATAAGGCAACAATACAAAAGTGTCAATCGGATAACGCAGAGAAGTCGTCTTACATGCCGACAAACAGTAAGTCTTCGACAGGGTCGCGTCAGAAGGAGCCCGTCGAAGGACAAGCTTCGGTGTATTCTGACTTCGACATACCTAAAAATACATTGTACGTGGTCGGAAGTAATCCTGGGGAGCCAAAGATGTCGTATCCTGATCCACCAAAGAAAATATCTAAGACGGTGAGTGACTATGTATGTGCATAGGTATCTACTTCCCTACCTATTTGTTAGTCGCTTCCAGTCTTCCGAAAAAGGTGGGTTCGTGTCCACTGTCCGGCATGATTTGTAGTGGAAACAAGCTTAAGGTCTAGGTACATGTTTTTAGTGATATTTTCAAATAGATGACTGCTCCGCGTCGACGTGGACACTGCACGTTGCATCCCGTAGACTACACGATTTCTAGACCATTGCTACATTGTTCTAGATGAAAAAGTTTCTGCGCAACATAGACAAGCACAAGAACGAGCAGAATAACAAGAGCAGCGAGAAGGCAATAAGCAAGCTGACGACGATGCGGGGGATCCTCAAGGACGGGCGCTGCGGACCCGAGTGCACCGGAGACTCCTCCGTGCAGGGCACCGAGGAATACAATACTGGTAAAGCTAACTACGGCTACGTAAAAGATATAGGTACCTAATCACAATCATGTCACATAACGTAACTTTCTAGGGAATGTGCCAAAGCCGTAATGTACCTACGGGGCCTGGTACCTAATATCCAATATATTTGTTCGCAGAACATCTTACACTACCATTCGCAATGGATTTTGGAGCACACACATACAGTAAGCAGAGTCCAGACAAAAACGTGACATTTAATACGCAAGTGGTGATCATTCACTTCACGGGCGACCTGTGCGTGGGACAAAGCGTCGAGACTCTGAGCAAGGAGAAGGACCAACAAGCGAGAAATTCTGAACTAAGGAAAACTTTCCTCACAAAATACAACGAATTTTGGCCCACACAGAAATAATTTTAAGTCTAGATTGTAATTTCAAAGTTTGTCTTTAGTGAGATTACCTATTTAACGCAGTGCCAATAGGAAAGTTCGCCAAAAAACATGGTATAAGTTATTTGAAACGTTTTATATTTATACACAATATTATTTATTTGTAAGATGTTAAATTTATTAAGTAGCGTTTTGTCCCACGTTTATTTATTTGAAATCTGATTGATTCGTATGCTTACTTTGTAGCGCTGAATTGTGTTTTATTCGGGAAACCAAATTGAAATAAAGGTTATACTAGTTTACGAAGGTTTTTTAATAAAAGTCTTATGTTTTTGTTATAAAATAATATTTATTGTCTTTTAGCTTTAATTTAATTAGGTGTAGATGAGATTTTCCATAGAACGAGATCTTTGACACGGTCGTAGGTGAAATACTTGGGGAAGTCTAGAGGTAGTTGTTGTATGTTCCATGTGGAATGTGCGTTTTCTGTCTTGACTTTGTCTAGCAGAGTGAGGAATGTCTCGTAACAGGGCGCCACGGAGTCGAGGTGCTCTATCGTGAACACGTACCGTTTTTCGAGCACCATGTATAACGTTTTGGGTGGCTCAGTGTTTAATATCTTCTGTATAGTTGAAACGAAGGCTGCTGTTAAATCGTCGTCGTATATTACTGAAAATAATGGACATAGTTTGACTGTCTTGTCAATTGTATGGTTTCAATAAAAGCTAACGCGAGTGAGGTCACCCCTATGATCGCTGGACCAGGGAAAGGTCTCTCTTGATTGTCTTCTCAAATAAATTGGCTAATAGCTAATTTGCAGTCGTTGGATGTTCAATTTTTGACAGCTCGTGATTGGACAAACAAACCTCACACTACATTAACGCCAACTGGGTAATAAAATCTGTCAATTACGGGATCTCGGATTTGATTTGGATAGGACAAAGTATTTTTTAATGGGGACAAGCCTGCCAAAACCTCCCAAAACCGCTGTAACTCCTGTAAGCCAGGATCTACAGTAGATACAACCATGAAAACACCGGAACACTGAAGTCCGGCGCGTCCAAGGGACATGCAGTCTTGGTTCCCGCAACGAAGTAAATCAGAAGTTATTATAAGAGGAGAACAAAGTATTATTAAGATTTAGTCTTATCTTACTAATAAAGTTTGTGAGTTTGTGTACCTATGTGCTACTTAACCCGTCGTATGTCTAAACGTGGATCAACGCGAGACTCAATGTATTTTCTATTGTCTTATATCGGTGCATTCAAGGGGTTAATCACGTCAAAATGGCTGAAGGGATCGGAATGAAATTTGAAACAGGAATAACACAAGGTAATCCCACGGGAATGGCCGCGGGCAGAATCTAGTTATAAATTTAATATAGATGCATACCATCAGCAGCAAGAATGATGCTCGCCTGTTTGACTTCGGTCAACAAGGAGGAGCTCCACGCGGTGTCAGTGAAGTCCAGCGGCATTACTTTGAATTGTGACTTTATTAACTTCTTGTTATACTTCGCATTTAGTTTAATTAGGTCTAGTATACCGCCCATGTTGATATCTGAAACAATAGTGGAATATTTAAGTGGATAATATTATATTAAATGTTTTACTGGTACTAGAGACTTTAAAGAACGCAAGACGCAGTGATCGCTAGACTACGAAACATGATGTCTCGGATTCGATTTTTAGGTCGGAAAGAGTTATAATTGAATTTTCTTGGATTTTTCGAAAAAATGACAGTAATAACAAAGAGTCTAGAATTGTGCCCAGTATAAGCTGACCCCCTACATTTTGGACATTCTATACATATAAAGCTGGAGCAAACGGAAACATTCTGAAGAATCTAAGAAGTAAAGTACATAAATCAAGTTTTCACAAAACACAATAAGTGCACAAATTCAATTTACCTGTGCAAATAACTTTCTTAGCATACAAAGCGGCGACAAAGCTAGTGAGTCCAGTTCCCGCGCCGAGCTCCAACACGCTCCGATTGGTCAGTTCCCCTTTCAGACCGAGGTGTATCAACCAATCACCGAGGAGGAACGCGCCCCGCCATACCTGTAGGCCTACTAGCGCGATTTTAGTTTTGGAACTGTGTTCTGAAACAGAATGAAGAAAATATTATCGGAGTCTAGTCTATAATTCTCAATGTTTTAGATATAAATTAGTACAATAGACGAATTTATGGACTTTATACTCTGGAAAAACATACCAATTTTAATAACTTCTTTTTGTGGCCTCTCGATGTCGAGGTCATCATCCTCATCATAAGTGGCGCTGCTTCCAGCTTTAGGCAACAGGAATGGAAACTCTGATATCACATCTGTAAAACAAAACAAACATTTGATGTACTTATATACTTATACTTATTTTGTGTAATTTGTGTTGATACCCACCTATCACGGACAGCAAAATTTATGAATTAAAAATATACCTCTATAATGCATGTGTTATAATATAATATATTTACGAGTAATTTAACGTCGGAATAAAACCATGCATGACTATAACAGTTGCCACCCCACATGACCACAAATGATCTATTTTGTCTTTTCTAATGTCTAGTACTGAAGCAAGAGAAGTACGTAGGTATCATACTAAGTGGGGCTCTGTGGTATCTGCCTACTAGTGGCGTAGATAACTATAGGGTGGCAAGTTGGCAAAATGCCACTAGCCTCCAGCTCAAAGGGGAGGTTCAAAGGTGATCTGAATGTTTCTGTTGTTTATTAGGTATGGGGGACCTAAAGATAAAGATATTTATTATTGTAAATGTCCTATTCGATGAATATGCCACGGGCCCCGAACGGTATAGTTACGCCACTGCTGCCTACTTCATGACGACCCGTACAAAGGCGTGAGTGTATGTACGTGTACGTATTAAGCAAAGGTATACCTATAACTAATCTGCGAAAATTTAATCCATGAGCCAACCAAAGGTAGCAAAACCACAGAAAAAATTAATTTATTAGTTTACATCACCTGTGATTCATAAAAAGTAATAAAATGTCATCGTTTAAAACTCACTTCCTTCAGTGCTGGGTGATATTTTAGTTTTATAATCATACTCCTCATATATCTCCGATGTCACCGTCAGTTCTGGCATCTGGAAGCATAACAGGATTCAGTTTTATGAACAAATCTCACAAAATTTATGTTTGTTGAATAAAATGTGGCAGTTTGCATGTTAAAAACATTTTATTACTAGGTGAAGTGTGAATGGCTTGTAAAATGAATGAAAAATGTAAATATTTTGAAAGCAATTCATAGTGCATGTTGCAGTGTGACTCAGTCAGGATTTATGATATGCTTTTATAAATGGTGTTTACATTTGACTTTGCAGTAGGGGTGTGCAAGATTTGTTTTCATAAATATTTAATATTATTAATAAAAAAGTGACTTTATGATTATTATTTGTTATTATTATATTTACATTGGAAACAAACAGACTAAAATTATCTTTAACAATTAAAATGTTCATTGAATAGCCTTATAATATATTTTGTTTGCTGTAATTCTATGTTACTATGCAGTATGCTAACATTTTTTTTTATATTTTACAATATTATGATGCACGATTTAATCAAAATAAAATAGGAAATAACAATAACCACATATTGAACTTGAACTTGATATTGAACTTCATCACACTGTTTCTAATACTGCATATATTGATAAATTATTTTGATTTGTACATTTTTTAAATTAATTCTTCACATAAACATGAATGGATACACACAGTATATTAAAATATCTAGACAATGCCACAAATTTTGCACACACACATCACAAGAATATACTACACAATTTAAAATATTTCCACTTGTATTATGTAATTACTTTCAAAATATCAATGGAATCTAATAATTTTACAATTAAATAATATTTTAAACTGATTTTTTAATAAATTTAAACAGACCTTATTTTATGAAACTCAATATTAATTACCAGAGACAATAAGATGACTTTTTGCCACTGCTAATGAGGAAGGACATTGGTACAAAAATTGGAAACGGTCCAATATTAAAACTTCTAAAATAAATCTGTAATAGTGTGGTATGCATGCCAGCTTTTGTAATTTACTATGCTTTAGGCGTGTTTGTTATTTATGCCGGTCACGTAGGCGGGAAATAGTATGATGATGATGTTCCTTAATGGAACTTATTCATATTCATACATAGATACATATTATTGAGGTGCAGTTTCTTGTTTTCTTTAGGATGGTTATGTACGTAACCATGCCACCATAGAGCACCCACGTATTTAATGTGGTAATTACAATAACTTGAAAATAATTCTTAACAAAACCTTGTCCTTGGGAACAGAAAATTTGTTTTGGAAATCTTCTATCTATAATTAAAAGGAGATAGGCCAGGCGATTTCACGCGAAAAGCAATATACTGAAGCTTACTAGCTATTATATCATACTCCCTTAAAGTACGATTCCGAAATGAAACAATACCTAAGATTGTAATAATAGTGATACATTACCTTCTTCAAATTTGTTCAGAGAAGCCGTTACTTATTATCAGTTTACGTTTTAGCTTCACAATAACTTTTGTTATTATATTTTATTGAATTAAAATTCATTTTATTTTATTTAATATTATTAGAATAACTATAAGTTTGTTTACGTTTTGTAACTCTTGCGTTGACATTATTGACATTTGTCCGAGTGGAATAAGATTGACATTGACAGATCTCAAAACTGAACAGCTGTTGTCGATTGGCATGGTTCTGAAATAAATAAAAAAAAATTAATCTTTTCATGAAAGCGTATAAAATTATGATGAATAGACCTTGGAATAGACCATGAATAGACTGAGAATTAACTTCTCTGGATTTTAAATGGTATTAAAGCATAATTTATTGATTTAGATAGTTAATCAAGAATGTTTAGTAAGATCCGATCATTTCAAAATGTCCATGGACATTATGCATGGCGTTGAATTACAAACTATTTTTTCAGATTTTTTTTCTTATTAGAATCTGTTTGTTTATAATTTACGTTTAGTTGTTGTTTGTGTAAAAAATAGGATGTTTAGTTATTTACCTTTGCCATCGTCACTCTAAAAATGTCGTATGTATTAACCAATCACCGCTCTACACACGATCGACGCTGCCACGTCAAGTGAGACGGGAGTGAGTGAATGAAGTGGCACTATTTCGGCATTTTGTAAAGTTTCGTCTTCGGAGAAGGCTTGAAAAGTGCCGTATTTTTCAACATGAGAGTTATCTTATTTACGGCGATAGCCCTTTTGGGCGCCGCTTTGGCTGATGATATACCCACAGAAGAAAATGTGCTCGTGTTGAGCAAATCCAACTTCGAAGGTGCAATCTCATCAAACAACTTCATTTTAGTTGAATTCTGTAAGTATTAATGGTTACTGTTATTCTTTTGTCTTTTCTTGAATGTGGATTTCAAAAATTGACCCTTCGTTAGTCATATTTTCTTTAAAATGTGAATGATACGAGGGTCGGCATGGTTGCGTTCATGCCGGTACGTATTGAATGCCTTTGTGAATCATTCTTGATAATTGCAGATGCGCCATGGTGCGGTCACTGCAAGTCCCTCGCTCCGGAATACGCCAAGGCTGCCACCAAATTGGCCGACGAAGAGTCCTCCATCAAGCTGGCTAAGGTTGATGCCACGCAAGAACAAGAGCTCGCTGAGAGCTTCGGCGTCAGGGGATACCCGACACTGAAGTTCTTCAGGAACGGCAGCCCTATTGATTACACAGGTATGGTAATTAAATAATTAACTGGAATTACCCCTTTATCTAATGTTTGCACTAACTTGTCATGGTTCATTTATTATTCTCATAATATTCTGATTGGAATTCGCAATGCTTGATATGGTTCCAATTGGAGTTATTTTATTTGAAAAAGTAACATGCTTGTAAGTTAGTGATGAAATTTTTGTTTTGAATTAAATTTATTATCTCTATTTTTGTGGCAGGTGGTCGCCAGGCTGATGACATCATCACATGGCTGAAGAAGAAGACTGGTCCTCCAGCTGTTGAAGTGTCATCTGCTGAGCAAGCAAAGGAGCTCATTGGTGCCAACAATGTCATCATCTTCGGTTTCTTCTCTGACTCAAATACTCCTAAAGCCAAGTCTTTCGTGAGTGTAGCCAGTGGCATTGATGACCAGGTCTTTGCCATTGTTTCTGACTCGAAAGTCATTGCTGAGCTGGAAGCTGAAGATGAGGATGTTGTCCTCTTCAAGAATGTAAGTGCATCTTTCTACTAATTCTTACTTTTAAGATACTTGCATCTTCCTTACCAAGATTTTTACTTGTTATTCACTTCTATACATAAATTTAGTTATTTATTTATTTCAAAGAAGTCTAATAGGCATAAGTTTATTTTATAAATTTTCAGCAAATGTGGGTAGGTGGATAAAGTAACTTGCATATTTTGTAGTCATTTATTAAATAGTGATGCAATTATAAAGTCACTTGTTACAATGAAATCAAATTAAAAATACTACATACTCCTATAAAGAGTCATATACTTAATTAATCTTAGCCTCTATACAAGCAAATTATGTTTAATATTAAACTGCTTTTTCTGACATAATAACTTGATGATAAGACCTCATATTATTAGTGTTGTAGGTGATTGGAAGTGTCCTCCATTTGGGTTACAGATAATAAGTTTGTTGGCCTCTCTAAACTTTGATAAAGAGGTTGTGATTGCATCCACATATTGTCTAAGTCTTTAACTCTGTTAGACTCATGTGTGACTGATAGCATTGACACATTTGCCCAGTTATCACAAACCTTATCATTTATCTACCTTTGATTTTTAATTATTGGTGCCATTTTAAATGATAAAAATCTTCATTTCGGGTATTTTTTAAGTTTCAATTCTTGTTAATAGAGATAGTGGTTTGGTGTTTTAGGAAATCAAAAAATAAATCTTGATATAATAATAACTATATTTCGTCGATATTTTTTTGTACCAGCATTATTAAGATGGTTGATAAATTAATATTGGGTAGGTATCTTCAATAAGAAGTTATCAAATTAATATTTAAGCAACAGGTTTTATGATTTGAACAAAATGAGTTTGTTCGTGATTCTGAGTTGGCACTCCAGTTTTCCTTATTTAGTTATTTACCTGTTTACTCCATTAAATGATGAAATTATACCTCCGATTTATTAATAAGGCAACATGTCTGTCTATCCAGAACCTGTTAGGAAAAAGTATGTTTAATCTGTATGTTTACATGTATGCACACATCTTATGTTCTTATTTTGTCACCAGTTCGAAGAGCCCCGCGTCAAGTACGACGGTGAGAAATTCGACGAGGACCTGTTCAAGACCTGGGTGTTCGTCCAGAGCATGCCCACCATTGTCGAGTTCTCTCACGAGACTGCCTCCAAGATCTTCGGTGGTCAGATCAAATACCACCTCCTTTTGTTCCTGTCCAAGGTAAGAAGCCCGAAAAAAAGTGCTAACGAAATAGGTTTAGTAAAATGTTACACATAAATACACAATGTTGCAATATTGTTAGACAGGATGTGCACAAGATAACAGAAATTCCGTTTTTACAAATTAAACTGTATGTAACTATTTTATTCAAATGTTGATTTGATGTGATGAATCCAATTCTATAACTATTACAAACTCGCTTGATTTTGCGGTTGTTATTTGATAGATTCTTCTGTACAATGATGAGAATCGCGACATTCAAATTCGTTTAAAAACGGTATAGGTAGTTCGCTATTATTAGTCGGCTAAACCGGTTTTTGACGAGGCACCGGTGTTCAGATCGGACACGTAAGGCATACATCGATGACTTGTCTCCAAAGAGAATGTGATTGTGACGCACGGTACTGAGAAATTAATCATTGAAGTCATTTTTTTTGCTATACAATTTGCGGTGATCTTGAAAGTGGTTGAATAAGGATCGTGGGACGGTATCACGGTACTTTCACACGCATAAATGTGTAGTGAAGTTACTCTTACTAGACCCGCTGACCCGCCGGCGTGAACTTTCGCCTTTCACTGCTGAACAATCGGCGATGCGCATCCGATAATCAAAGTTTACTCTATTTACTAGGCAACTTTATTTAAATGTTCTGTTACCTTTTTATTGTGATAATTATCGTGGGATTTAATTTTTATTGTTGTTTTTTAATTTAAATCGCGTTTTTAGTCTTGTCAAGGTAAAAGAAGTAAAACTATTTAATGTTAGTCATTAAACAATAAATACCGTAGCTAGAAATAGTAAACGGCCAGTTAGTTAGCGCACGAAATCGATTTTACACAAACCCTGCCCTACCGAAGTCGCATAAACATGCATTGATTTGAATTTACAAAAATATCAAATAAACCGAGACGGTAGTTGAACTTGTTAATAAATAGCTAAATACACACTAGCGACATATCGGAGCAAACACGATGGGTTCAACGACCCCGAGGGCGATGAACTTTGCTTGTAGGTTGAGATTGGAGACTTGTTCCTTTGAGAATTAATAAGACTTTTCTTTTCGTAGAAAAATGGCGATTTCGACAAGTACACTGAGGAACTCAAGCCCGTTGCCAAGAACTACCGTGACAGGGTTATGTCCGTCGCCATTGACGCTGACGAAGATGAACACCAGAGGTTTGTACCATTATCTATTCATGCGTATATGTAACTGTACATAGACAACTGTTTCTATGAAGTTCAATGAATTGTTTAGAGTCTATGACGTTGATAAAAAAAGGTTTTACTTAATGATTCGAATTATGAAATCTTTCATTTCCCTTACTATTTCGTTGAAATAACATTTATAGTAATTTAATGTCAATTCCACACTATTAATTTCATAGCAAGTTTACATTGCATTTAACAATGATGTGAGCATTTAACTTTATACTAGCTTCCAATACCCACCAACCGATAAACGTGTTTCCTTACTTCAAGACGAAATGTCAAGGACGACCAAGCACATTTCATTAAGAGTTCATGAAGGCTTCGAAAAGTTACTAAGAGCTAATATAAAACCGTCTCGACGGAATAATTCACAGTTGAAACATTTTTGCCTGGTCTTCATCAACCACTCTTCCTCCTCTTAACTAAGAGTTACTTAGTTTGATCCTGGTGTCACTTATAAGTTGGTAAAAGTCAAAATGTTGTTAAGTGGCACCTATCTTAGCTTAGAGGTCCCTTAAAAATTTAGGAGATGTTGTTGAAAGCGGCATTATTTCGTTAACGCTTTCTTCTAAAAAGGTAGTAACTAAACTATGGTAATTTCATTTATTTACCGTGACCTGCATGCTTATTGTATTAACAATAGTACGCACAACCCCGATAAAATCAGACCGATTTAAAAACTCTTTTACCCTTGGAAAAAATATGTTTGAGATAGTACTATTTATCGCGATATTTCCCGAAAGAATTATAAGTAACATGTAGGCGAAGTCGTAGGAATATTTATTCCATGTGACAAAACTTCTTGGAAAGCCTAGTCATTATTTCTAAATATTCTATCTCCTACAGAATCCTGGAGTTCTTCGGCATGAAAAAGGAGGAGATCCCCTCTGCCCGTCTGATTGCCCTGGAACAGGACATGGCCAAATACAAGCCCGCTAGCGACGAACTTTCTGCCAACTCCATTGAGGTAAGTCCACATACCACTATTTAGTATATTCTTATGTGTAATGCAAAAAATGATGGATCCAGTTTTCGATTATGTACTTAATAATATTGTTATTATGAGAATGTGTAGATTACGTCTAGGCGTGCGTAGGTGGTCGTAGGATTTAGTTTCATCTTTTAGCCTTTCACTTCTGACTTACACAGACAATATTTCGAAGCGTGAATTCTAAAATAAAACAACGAAGTGCATCTCTTAAATTGTTCATAACAATAGAAACTTATAGTTACATAAATATGCCATAATATTTAACCCAATTACCGACTAGTCTACATTCCTAATTAGTTAAACATTACGGTTGATTAGAAGTTATTCAGCCTAAGTTTAAAACAATGTAATTCATATTATACTAATTGATCAAATTAGTTATACATTGCCTTATCTAGATGTACTGATTTCAATATTCGCCTTTAATCGTAACAATTTTTTTTAAACCGACCTTAGTCGATGGTTAAGTAATTGATTTCCGATATACATCTTGATAAAATCATTTTTATGTTTATCGGCTTACTCTCGTAACTGTTATGAGACCCTAGCATAGCTTGAAACGAGTCCAGTTACTTCGCTAAACAGTTATGTGAGTGAGCCGTGAACTAAACATGATTTACTTTAACATGTCTAGCGTGTTAATATCATTAAAAATTTATCGTGTTAAGAAAATCTTGCTTGTCATGAGTAATAAACTGATGTCTAAAGTTCAAACATGTCTTAAGGGTGCTTCAAGCATTATCACAGATGGAACTACAACTTTCTCGTCTTTAGGCTATTAAAAATGATTTATACCTATCGTATTCGAAAGTGACTTAGCAAATGCGGCGATGTTTCAAGTGCTTAAAAAACTTTTGAAAACAGCTTCAACGCCTGTCGTTTAGAACTTTCTTTTTTTTTCATAATATCAAAGTTCAAAGTTAAACATTTACTTAAATGTATGCATTAGGTAGATTAACTATATTTTTATTGTAGAAATGGACTACGCAGTTACTGTGTATAAATAAACAGTAAATAACAGCTACAGTATTTACAGAAATAACAACAATAACTGAAATACTGAAATCATTAATCCTAAAGTCACGGTTTTCATGTCTAGCTTCGCTACGCTACTCACAGATTGGCATGTTTGTCTTAATAAATTGTACACAATCACACAACTAGAATACATACCTAGAACGTGACATAATGCATAGGTATCCTACGCGTTGTATTGCTATGCAATTACATTACAACAACACAAAGACTGACGGACTGACTAACGGATTCTGTTGCCATTTAAAATAGGTAGTAGGTACCTTTATGCCCACGTCTTTGTTTTTAAGTACTAGATTGAACTCAATGTAGACTTACTGTAAGATGACAATAATAAAAACATTTTTTCATGTTCGTTTCTTACTCGTTCGGCTCTATACGAATATACATTTTGAAACGAGCCCCCAGTATCATTGATGGAGAAACTGACGAAAAATTCAATTTTGAACTTACTGAAAATGTATTGACTTTGTTGTAGCTGTAGTATAGTAACAAACTACAAATGAATCCACATCGCAATCCAATTTTCCTTGTCCAATTCTGATTGCGAATATCCTCATAATAATATTTTTCTCTTTGTCCACAGGAATTCATCCAGTCCTTCTTCGCTGGTACCCTGAAACAGCACTTGTTGAGCGAGGACCTCCCCGCCGACTGGGCCGCCAAACCCGTCAAGACCCTGGTCGCCACCAACTTCGATGAAGTCGTATTCGACAACAACAAGAAGGTCCTTGTTGAATTCTATGCCCCATGGTAAGTTAATATAAATCTATGTTATTATATATTAATATTGTGAAGTTGAAGAGTTCGTTTGGTTTTACGCATTACTCTCCAAAACAACTGATTCGGTTTGCAAAAATATTGTTTCCGATAGTGCATTTATCGAGGAAGGTTATGGGCTATAAAACATCACGGTACAATTAACAGGAGCCGAGTAGCGGGTGAAACCGAATGGAATTAGTTATTTAATCAAACAGGGAATACCAAAAATAGAGATATAAAACATCAATAAGATTAAATGAACGATAAAATAACACGAAAGTGTCATTATCGCGATAACATTTGCACGTAGACATTGAAAATATAGGTAATTGATTACATTAGGTACATTTTTGTGAATGTTGCCCTATATTCGACATGTATCTCGATTCACCTTCAAGCTAAAGTAACAATGAATAAATAGATAGTTTTAATGACTCAATACTTCATTACAACAAATGTTATTTATTCAGATGTGCGATTAAAAGGATATTTAATCTAAACAATGGATATTGCATCATCAGTTTGTAGGCAAATGATGTAAAAATTCAATATGGTGTCGAACACGTATTGACAATTGATACCCGCTGTGTACACACAGTGTAACCATTACCCGCGTTGGGGTTACTTGTTTGTGTTACTAGGTCGAGTTCAAGAACGAGACATACTATACCTAATACCGAGCGCGAAGAACCCAGATACTTTGTAGTGAGCGTAAATTCGCGTATTGCATATTCTGACTTAAACTTTCAACGTAAATTCCTTTTTCTTCTTACGTTATCTTCTTTCCTTATACACGATTAACACGAAATGATGGCAATAAATTCTTTGTTTTGAGTTGATTTTTATGGGCAGGCGCGCTCCATCAGGCAAGATAGTAGCCAAACGCCGACCCATATCACTACATAGTATAAAACAGTCACTATCCGCCGTCTGTCTGTCCCTATGTATGCTTAGTTCTTTAAAACTACGCAAGGAATTTTGATGCAGTTTTTTTTAATAGAGTGATTCTTTAGGAAGGTTTATATGTAAATTATATGCATATTGTACCCATGCGAAGCTGGGGCGGGTCGCTAGTTAACTACAAAAAACCCCATAGTCATGGTTGGTACCAGGGTGTAATACTCAGCGTGTAACCTTCCCCCATTAGGGTTTCTTGTTCGCGTTACTAGGTCAATCACTAGACTAGACACAGACATTTCTCATCATGACATTTCTACTTAGTTATTATTTGATATTTGTCGCCTTACCATTACGTCACATTCTCTCTCGCCTCGTTAGTTCGTATTCAGTGATTCGTAATTAATGCGCTTGTGTCAAACGTCACTGTTCACTTGTTACTGCTCAACGGCCTGGAAATTGATCATTTGCACCATTATGGAAATGTTTTCTCGTCTCTTTTTCTTGTTAACATATTTAGGGATTTTGTCTAGTATATATTTTAGGAAATTTGATATACATCTCTTAATCCTCCACGGAATAGATGTAGCCCACTTATCTCCAGTTATGTGAGCAACATCCATAAGATAGAATTTATTGCTGTAATACCAAATGTAATTCTAAAATGATACCACTTCTAGTTCGGCATTAACACTTAGGTACATACATGTTTAATCTAGCCATCTTGCATTGATTGATGTATACCTACCTATTACTCTAAAAATGTAAAATCTTTAATTCAACCATTCTCTCAACAGGTGCGGTCACTGCAAACAGTTGGCTCCTATCTACGACAAGTTGGGAGAGCACTTCGAGAAGGACGATGACGTCATCATCGCCAAGATGGACGCCACCGCCAACGAGCTGGAACACACCAAGATTACCTCCTTCCCAACCATCAAACTGTACACTAAGGATAACCAGGTCAGTACAATACAACAAACTAGATATAAATTTCCATTTTCATGCATTATCACAATAGCCACAACATGTCAATTTTATTGCTGAATACAGGGGGAAATGTATGTTCAGCTATTAAAAGATGAGTTAAAAAAAGCCCATTTGTAACCCTTGTATAAAATAAAGGGTTAGGCACAGATGGACATATTCAAAGTCTCACCTAGCTTATGGATGAACGAGGGGCAGACAAGTTAAATCTGAAATCCGTTCTCATTAGAAATCATTGAGATAATACATGATCTAATAATGAGTCTAGTCTAGAAATGTTATAGAATGTATTCTTGTAACTCGAATAAGAAATGTCTTTATTAACGTTAATTAGGTACATTAATGTATCGTAATTATTTTAGCCAGTATAATATGCGTTTCACCGCACACGATTGTAGCGAATGAGCTGACTTTCTCTGTAATATTATTATGTTTAATATACAAACAACAACAATAGTCACCTTGACAGCTCATGATTAATGCATGTAGATTGGACACGCATATTCTTATTGTATTTATCGTATGTAAATATGTACCGCGTCGGTACTCGACAACCTCGTTGGTCGTCGAGTTAAATAGGTTTTGGGTCCAATTCTCGGGCCGGATGAAGTATATTACGGGGTAGTAGCGTAACTGCGTAACTACAGGGTGACAAGTCGGCAAAATGGATCAGATCCTGAGCTGGAAGGGTTCTGAGGTTCTCATCTGAACTTCTCTATTTTTTATGGGAAGAGAGTGCCCATCCGATGAATTCGCCGCGGGCCTCAAATGGTTTAGTGCCATTGTTAGTGTTGAAAATTTCTCAATAATATCACGGAGTCTGGACCCGGTAGCAATAAGTTTATCCTCAGCTACATAAGATTTTGGAATTGCATAAAAAAGGTTATTGTTTCGATATAATATTTCATTGTTATATTCTTCGAGTAATTTGATCGTACGGATATCATTAAGTTACGATTATGGTACATTTATTTATTTATACTGCTTTACCATGCAATTCCAATTTTGTAAAGTATATTGTAAAGGTATTACATTACTGGTCCGTCACGGTTCATACGTTATTACTTGACTATAAAATAATACGAAAGTAACAAAAATTAACTTTATTTATAGTTACTTTATGACCCACCTCGTAATGTAGTTAGGTTAAGTTTGCAATTGTTCGGCAGTTGCCGGGTGATAAAATACCAGTTAATTTGTAAAATATAGGATTAAATTGTAGGAAAACTGCAAACTCATTTTTCGGTATTTTGTTACACTATAAAGGTATAGACAACGAAACAAATTGTGACATAAATGTTACACGTTAACATCTGTACTGTTCATACACAACACACTTATACGGATCATAAACCTGTGGCTGATGCGATATTAATCAATATCGTGACACAATACATTTTACAATATTACAGACACTCGTGTTCATACAGACATTCGATTTCCAAAATATTCCCAAAGCAGTCGGTACCCTAATTTAAATTATAATAGCTGGCCCAGCTATATACACACGACTTAAAAAAAGAAATTACATATCTTTCGAACCTTCCCATAAGCCAAATCGATATAACCGTTCTAGAGTTTTAGCGAGTCTACCGGAAATTCCATTTTGTTTATGTAGATATTATATTAACGATTGTTTATTTGTTATTCCACAGGTGAAAGACTACAATGGCGAGAGGACGTTGGCAGCTATGACCAAGTTCGTAGAGACCGATGGTGAGGGCGCCGAGCCTACACCCAGTGTGGTAAGTTATCAATAATGCTCATATATTATTATTACCATCAAAGTTTTTAACTTCGTTCCAATACCATCAATGTCCCATGCCACTTAGTTGGAGCAGAAGACATCCGTAGAAGTCCTCCATTGACCTGTGTTGACTAACACACATGAAAAATTACGAATGTATTTTTTATGTCTGTGTTTATTAGTCACGCAGATTGACCATATAGATTACCCTTTTAATTTTTATCATACTTAACAATGGATGTCTATGTACATATACTTATAAACCGAACTTAAATTAGAGTATGTATAACAGACTGAATACGATTTAACCATTAACAAGTTGCATAGTAACAATAAAATAAATCTTAATCAGTATTCAGAGCTTATCGCCTACTTAAGTCCTTGGAAATTTTAAGTACTCGCTGCCAACCAATTTAATTAAGTTAAATTGTTTCCGTCCGATTCGCTTTGTAATTATTTGTTTTATTATTTACCTAAGGTTTTTATACGCACTCGCGACTCGTATGACGTGTCCTCTTAAGTTTAGGCCACGTAGTTAAAGATTACGTGTAGTTCTGATAACCTCCTCGTTTATCATGTAAATTAATGTACAAAGTAAAATCTTTAAGGCATTTGAATTGTCATTATTTACTGTTTTAAGTAACTATTATTATTATAGTCACGAAATCAATTATTATTATAGACATGAAGTTAAAACCAGTAATGGCTTACCCAATAATTATTTTCGATCATTGAGAATTGAGAAAATACCTAATTGTTTTTATCTATCTTTGCAGAGCGAGGATGATGAAGAAGACGAACAGCCATCCAGAGACGAGTTATAAGCGCTTGGGGGCCCGTACACTCTCATGAGACTTCCATAGTATAGTACTGTATAGATTATAATTATTACTTTTATACTGAAACTAACATGTTTGCATTTCACTTGCTAGACTGTTGACTTGTTCTCTAAATTGTTTTAAGGGTTGTACTTGAACGAAGTAAGTTAATAGTACGTATTGTTTGATATTTTATTACCTAATACTCTGTCTGTTTGTACACGCGTATCGTCAGAGCGGCCGGATCTCGTGCAAGTGCCCAGTGAAATTAATTTATTTTCTAAAAGCATAATTTATTTTGCATAAACAGCAGCGTAACGATAGTTTATGTATAATAAATAAATATTACCATATTTATAATTTCTGTATCATAATGGTATAATGTTTCACATTCCTTAGTACAAGTTAGTTACATCGAACAAGTGTTTTGTTGAAGAAGCATTGGCGATATTTTTATATTTTACTTGTACATTAATTCATCACAACAAGTATAATTACTTAAGCAGGATCTTAAGCCGTTAAGTTGTATTTTTGTAGCGTTTTTTATTAAAATTGTTATGTTGAATAGTTCAATCATAAGTACTTGCATTGTCAAATGTATTTAGTGCTATTTTCATAATTATAATTGTTATTGAAGATCTTGAAAATGTAATTTTCTACGGATATTTGGTAATTCTGTCTATACATGTAAATATTCATAAATGTATTTGCCAAATCTGCAATTGTGTATCTATTGTGGATACAGAAATTGATAAATAAACAAAATTAAACCTATTTTACGATTTTTATTTCAACTGTTTTGTCTGACACTGCATAAACATCTTGCAATATACACCTTTATACGTAAAAACTTTTTTCTAATTGTGGTATGGGGTTGGAATGACCTTAGGGCGGAGGCCCCATTTGTAAAATTTCAAACATATTTCAACGAGCAAAATTGTTTTCAGATGACAGCTCAGACTGGTGTTGTGCTAATTAAGGGTTCACCTTTAAGGGTGGAAGTAACTTTGGCAGAATTGGGTCTACTTTTAAAATATTCAGAGAATAATCCCAGGATATTATTATTAGGCCCAGGATATATTATTATTAGCAGGTGCTACTTAGGATTGCCTCTTTGGCCGAGTGGTCGTAAGTGTGACTGCCGGGCAAGGGGTCTCGGGTTCGATTCCCGGGTCGGGCTAAGTATTACTGGGTTTTTAAATATTCTTAGTAGTAGCACGGAGTCTGGAAATGTGCCCGGTATATGGCAATAGGCTCATCCCCTATTACATGGGACTCATAACATAAATAGTGAAAAGTGGGTGTTACATTGCACAGTGGTATAATGTGCACCTCTGCCAACCCCTGTACTTATTATACTACCCGAGCGTACGGCGCGTCGCGTTCCGCGCGCGCCTCAAAGAGCCATCAGACCACCACAGATGGGGCCCATACGGCCGATGCCGATTCGGAGTCGCAGAGTACCTAACGGGTAGCCGGGGCTCCGACTCGAGGTGCAGGAGAAGGAACGGGGTGGTTTTTAGTCAGTAAGAGTCTGACACTCCCTACCGCCTCAACCGATGATGTTCCCCCCGTAAAAAAAATACTTATTATACTCTTTGCCTCTGCCTACCCTTTCGGGGATAAAAGGCGTGATGTTATGTTATGTTATGCTACTTAGGATAGGATAGGATAGGATTACTACAGATATTACTTGCAAGCAGGTGCTTGCTTCTGGCGGTACTTATTTTCTAGGGAAAGTTCTCATTAAAAAAATACTTGATGAATCTTTGTTCATAAGTCTTTACCTATGAAATTGTCGTTATGCAGTAGTGGCCAATTCAAATCAAAATAATTTTTGTTTGGCTAAGAATTCTACGGACGTTTACGGAGCTAAGACTACAAACCAATGCACCACCTACGACTGGTTTGCTCTCTTCCGTTCAGGAAATTTCGACCTGAAAAATGAACCTCACGGTCGTCCGAAGACTGGTCGGTAACGACGATGTAAAAGCCATTGTTAGCGTTAGCGTCAAAACAATATTGTTCCATTTGAGTTGAATTGGCAAGATCAAAAAGCTTGACAAATGGGTGCCCTACGAACTCAATAATCGCCAGCGCGGAGTACGTGTCGAGGTGTGCCTTGCACTGTTCAACAACATACAAATAAAAGAATTTTGAACAGCATTGTTACTTGCAATGAAAAATGGTTTCAGTTTGATAACCGCGCAAGCGCTCAGCAAGTTGGTTGGATCTTGGTTCATCACCTAATGCCGATGCCCTAAACGACAAATTACCCCTAGAAAAGTGATGGTCACTGGTGGTCTAGCGCAGGTGTGATTCATCATAGCTTCTTACCAAACGGGGTGAGCATTACCTACTGCAGATTTCTACTGTAAAGAACTGAACACAATGATGGAGGAGCTGGCACATTTCTAACCAGCATTGGTCAATCACTCGTCTCCGCTGCTCCTGCACGACAACGCGACCTTATACTGCACAGCAGACAGTCTCCAAGTTGCAAGAACTGGGATTAGAACCTCTCCGTCATCGGCCCTACTCCCCAGACCTTGCGCCTACAGATTATTACTTCTTCCAGAAACGGCAGTACAGAATGCCTTGAAGAATTTGTCCTGTCCTCACGTCCAGCTGGTTTTTTTAAGAATCAATAAACTGAGGACATTTGAGGATCCTCAGTCGCAAAGTTTCACATCCACCGAACCCACAAGTGATATGCTGGAGCCAAGTATTCTGGAATCGGAAGTGAGAGCCGCTATTTTACATTTGAAGAATGGGAAAGCTGCAGGAAAAGATCAAATTCCAATCGAAACTATCCGAGCAATGGGAGAGTACGCTGTTCATATCTTTCATACCATCTGCAACAAGATATGGCTGACAGGGAAATGGCCTTCAGAGTGGGCTCACACAGTTTTCACTCCGCAACACGTGGCAACTTTCGACTTATTGTGTTTTATCACACGCCAGTAAAATAATGGTACCTACATATTATTCACGAGCGACTGAAGGCATATGTATTCAAAGAAATTGCACCAGAACAGGCCGATTTCGTGAAGGGCAAGGGTACCCGTGAGCAAATTCTCATTGTTCGTCAAATTATCGAAAAAGCACGAGATTTCAACAAGCCCAACATATGCTTTGTTGATTTGTCAAAAGCGTTCGACTCGGTGAAATGGCCGACGCTATGGAGAACTACTGGATATGGGCACACCGCAACACCTTGTGCATCTACTCAGGGGACTCTACGAGGGGTGAACAGCATCAGTGCGTACAGATGACATCCTCTCCGATAGCTTTCACCCAAGCACGGGTGTGCGACAGGGATGCATGATTTCGCCGTTGCTCTTTAATATTTACACCGAGCTTGTGATGCGAATCTCTCTTCATTGGTGGGTATAAAATTTCAAACTTGCGATACGCAGATGATACCACCTTATTTGCAGGCAATGCGGATCTCATGCAGGAATTACTTCGCAAAATGGAACACGTAAGCCGGGCCTTTAGTCGCGGAGAACCTAACGGGTAACCGGGGCTCCGGCTCGACGTGCAGGAGAAGGAACGGGGTGGTTTTTAGTCAGTAAGAGTCTGACACTCCCTCCCGCCTCACCCAGGCGAGAGCAGTCATTCGATGATTTTCCCCCCTTAAAAAAAAAAAAGCCGGGCCTTTGGATTGAAAATTAACCGAACTAAAACAAAAATAATGATCGTGGACCGCGTCAAAGACAACTCGCCAGTAGTTACGCATATATATCTTGGAGCCTTCATATCCAACAGGGGTGGTTGCGTGGATGAAGTTAAGCGCCGCATGGCTATGGCTAGAACTGCGGTGGAGAAGCTGAAAAGTTTGGAGGAATCGCAACATCACTAAAACTACCAAGGTCAGACTTATGCGAACGCTGATAATTCCAATTTTCCTCTACGCGGCAGAGACGTGGACAGTACGTGAATTGAAAAAGGGGAAGATAAATGCTCTAGAGATATGGTGCTGGAGAATGAAGCTTGGTGTATCGTGGACTGAGTTTCGCATCAACGGATCCATATCCTAGAACTCGTCATCCGTCAGTCTCCCGTCATGATAACAACTCCATAGAGTGGCTGGTCGTTCAGGGGAAAGTAGAGGGAACCAGATCACGAGGCAGACCACTTATGCGCTGGACTGATCAAGTCAAATCGGCAACGGGAAACCCAGTGTCAGACTGCGCCAGACAATCCACAAACAAGGAGAGACGGCGGGAGATCGTGAGGAAAGCTGTATCGGCCTCCAACACAAATACGGCCGCCTCAACGTGATCACAACCACACTGCCAAGAGCGAAACGACAGAGAAGAAGAACAATAAACTGCCACTGCATTAGCAAAGATGCATTGATTGTATGGGTGATTACTTCGATTAATAAAAATGTACTTGAAAAAAATTCATTTAAATTTTTCCGTACATAACTGCAATTTCATAGGTAAATATAAAGACCTATTCAACCAATCGGCGGCTACAAAATAAGCTAGCCTTTTCGACTATCGACTAGTCGGCGCAGTCTCCTTTGGGCCTCTTAGGGGTATGGCAGAAGTGAATTTGCGGTTGGAATAGAAGTAATTAAAAAATTCGTAGTAAGTAATAAAATAAGACAGATAAAATAAAACACTGAAAACATATGGTAATTATTTTTATTATCTTAAATACAACGATTACAACATAAAATAACTCTTTTTAAATAATTAACATTAAGCTTGTTCTTTTAAATTATCACATTAACACCAAAAGAACATTTAATTGAGACAAATGTGGAATGGCATTGTATTTATATATGTATTATATCATTAGTGAACGGGTAGCACTTTGGTACATACAGGTTAATTTCTGGGGTAACTTTTGTTCATTCAGTAAAATATTCTATGGTTTTAAAAAGATATTTATAATAAAAGAAACAACAATATGGTTTTATAATATCTGAACTCGAGACTAGTGTCAAAGTGAATAGTTATGCAAATTTTTACATTACAGGTGTATAGTACAACCATTTTTTCTATAAGATACTAGCACAATAGATGCACCTGAAAGAAATCCTCGCGCTTATAAATGCCTCGTGTTTCTTGCGATCTTTTAGGCCCAATAACGTTCTTAGTAGTAGTTATTTTCCACAACATCGTATTGTAGGTACCGGTATGTATATGAAGACACAAGATTGGCAAACGTAAGTTAATAAGGACCAAGAATTGAATTCAAGTTCATAGGTGCATGATTGTATTTAGACAAGGCTTAAAACCTTCACCTTTAATTTACCTGTGCGAAATTCATTTCAGTAATTAAACATAAACAGTAAAACAATAAATACTTGGTTTCTGTAAATCGATTCGTATTCTACTCCTTCCAATTTCATCAAACAACGAAAACAAATCAAAATGCTGTACGACAGGTACTAAATTAAATATACAAATACATCTTGATTTACTCTTAGTAATCTCTAAATCTAGTAAATAAAACCACGATATACTATTATATCAAACAATATTATATATCACAATCTCGACCCTTCGACGATCATCCCAATACATTGAAATCGTAATAAATAATTACATAATAGAAATCCATCAATAATGTCGAACGCCAGTGGTCTTGTATTAAATGCTCCCGTGGTCTAGTGAAGTCTACATACGTTCATATATTAAAGAAATCTACCTAATGTTACCTTACTCTAGTGTAATACATAGTCAATGACGCGGCCGCGGTTATGTACTTAATAGTTTTATATACTTTTTAATACCACGCTGTTACAAAATCGTTTATTTTCATTGAAGTATTTTAAGTTGAAAAAGATGTTCCTACAATACTTTAGAAGTTAGTAAAACGCCGAATAACAAGAAATATATTAAGATTTTTTGAAACATTAGTAAGTTTACGAGGTCGGTTAGTCAGCTTAAAATATTTCAATTATAACTATAAAAGCCAGGCACCAAACGGCATATCGAATACACGTGACTTATTGACAATATTACGAGAAATTATTGCGGTGTATAAATACATTTCGATGCAAAAATAACAACTTTAAATGTCAACTAATGTCGACAGGCGAGCGAGAAATACTAATACCTAAGTATACAGATTTATCGCCACAAATACATAGTAACGTGAGAAACTATCGCGCACTACTAGTGTTGAAAACTTCGAACTAGTGATGCGTCGAGAATATATTAATCGCAACCTTACACAATACTATAAATATATTGAGTGTACAAATTACAATACAATTTAGAATATCTGGCTGTATGTATAGAAGTCATTCTGACCATTTTATTCAATGCATTCGTGTGCAAAGCGTACAGTACTGGTAAACGCATGTATTACCGTTTTTATTTTTTTTTTAAAGCCTTTTGTTTATTTCACTCTTCAAGTAATACATGTTACTAATTTTTTACACTGCGGATTGCGATTGGCTACAGATCAGAACCAAAATATTACGACGTTGCGAACTCTTTTTCAGTATAAATCAAAGCAATAAGAAAATAAAATGAATACACCTTATGGAAAACCAAGTCTTAACAAAGAAAAAATAAAAGCCATAAACAGAAATAACAAGAGAAAAATAGGATCAATATACATAGCAAAAGCGCGCGCAACGTCGAACGGCGGATCAAAGAGTGATGCAATTGGTCGGTTATTCGACTAACTAACCAACCAAACAATCACGTTTCATCATCAATATCAGCTTTAAAAAAATCAAGGAATAATAATATGGTACGAGATCAAATAGATCAGTTTCAGAAGATGTATAGGTAAGCTAAGGTTGTAGACATGACGATAAACCTGAGTTGTTGGGAGAGGATCAGAGCGCGAACATGGAGTCGTGGTCATCCTTGTTGATTTGGCGGTGGCGGGGGGTTAGTGCGGCTGGCATGGCGGGCGGGGCGCTGGCATTGCCACTGGCGGGGGGGGCGGGGGGGGCCGCCTGGCTGGCCGGCGGGAGACTGTCGGCCGCGGCGGCGCGCTCGGCCAGGAACTTGTCGAAGTCACTGCTCGTGACGCTCTCTTGCCCACCTGCTGCTTCTGACGCAGCCTGGAGATTTGAATGGATGGTTTTAAAATTACTATTATACAGAAACAGTGGTAACCTTGCAGGATTTTTTGTCAGGCCACATATACACAGTAAGGCCGTTCATGTAATAATCCTGTATTATTTTTAAACATTACATTTTCGTCTTTATCGTTTTGTTACAAAAGGGGGATTGAAGTACAATAAATTGTCGTGCTGTAACTAGGCTAGGAATGTTGATACAAAAGTTTGTGTTATCGAATTGAAATAATAGCGTCGTGCTAACACTAGGCAAGTGTTTAAACAGCATAGGCAGTGTAGTAATTCACTTAGGATCATAAGCCATATGAATTTATCGTTTGTGATTATTATTTAAGCTTGAACAAGCGCCTAATTAATTAATTATAATTATCTGTGTACACTACTTCCCAATATAAATATCTAAGTATGTAGTATAAAAGAATCCTTCTTGGCTATCATGAAAGCATGATTGTGTATCGGTGCGATTAATAAACATATACATAAATGTATGACCAACTAATGAGTCTTCCCATTAGTAAAAACTAAAAATAAATGAAAAAATAAAATAAATCATAAAACACACCTTCTCTTGAGCTAACCATGCCGCTATTTCATCGATCTCCCTTTCATCCATGCCCGACGGCTGTCGAATGTTCCAGAAATAGGTTAACATAAAATAATTGTTATATACAAAACAAACAAAAATAAAAAATTATAAGTAGTACAAGAACCAAAAATTTTAGATAAAATAAAATTCTGTATGTATTGAAAATAAAATTAAATAAACGTAATAAGGATAAAAACTATACACTTTATCCTGTAATCTTCATTTTAGAGCCCTATTAGGATAAATCTAATTAATATGGTACTTGCTAAGTACATCCCCCAAACACACACATTGCAAAATCACACAACAGACGAACAAAACTACATATATTAGTAAAAGGACGAACATATTCAAACGACACAGGACAACTCAGTAAGTATAGATAGCGTATAGAAGTCGTCACGAGCGCGGGTGCCATACTTGCGTGGGTACATGTAGTACATGTACTACATGTACGCGCACGCACTACGACAACTAGGGCTCACCCGCGCTCGTGAGATAAAACAATAAACAACTATAACAATGAGTGAAAGTAGTGGAATAGTTATACATACAAGTGGCTGTCCCTGCGTGGCTCGTTGACTGGCGATGGAGGCCAGTCCGGCCGAGGACTGCTCCTCCAAGTTATCTGCGTAACTACTGCCTCTGTGAACGGTAATAAAGTAGTTTTTAGTAAAGACATATAGCCATTTTCCTATTACAAAGGAACTTCTCAACACGTTTTTTTTAACTAACTTCATAACCGTTAAAATGTTTCTTCTATTGATGATTTTGATTCGAAAAAAACTTAAATAATCACAAAATAACGTAATCAATAGATAACTAAAAAACTGTCTAAGGGTTTGGAGTACAAAATATAGCCACAGGACAAAGTTCGTGTATTCACCGAGTTGCTAATGAATCACAATGTCAAATGCTCGATTTCTTATTATAATCTACAGAGTCACACAATTTTAAAGTATAAACCTTTGCGGTAAAATAAGGTTAGCGTAAAGTTAAACAATGTAATGGCATTTATTAAGAAACATACCCAGTCTTGGAGTTCTCGTACGTAAGGTTCCGTGACTGCGCAAACATATCGAACTCGTCCTTAGAGCTGCCCGGGGACTTGTCTGGCTGAGAGTCACGGACACCTGAAAATACACAACATATTAGTATACCTACAAACAATTTACAATTCATCTAGTACTCTGGTGATTTGTTAAAATAAAAAGAAATTATATTATACAGGTTTCTCTTTACATTAGTTTACCCACTTTAATAAAAAAGTTGAGAATATATTTTGATTACTTACTCAATTTGGCAATATCAGGTACATCATCGCTGAGATCAATTAGAGCGTCGTCATCAGGTTTCTTTGCTGAAAAAAAAAGTATCATAATTTATTAAAATTTCTTATACCGTTTTAGAATAATAGCTATGACATATATTATTATGTTTTCGGCTTACTCGCGTAATTTTTTGACAAGGAACTCGACTAGTTTCAAGCCATACTAGAGACTCATACTCGTGGGTAAGCCGAAAACATAATAATATATTTAGTATGTCTCATGAAAGTTATAATACATAAAATAGCTACGACAAATAAAAAACTAGCCCAGTTTCATAGTATCGTTTGCACAAGTTCATTGAATAGTTTTAATTTACTAGTTATTTAAAGTAATTATTTAGGAATACTAACGTGATGTTGGAGCATTTGATCCAGGTACTCCCATGGCAGCGCCTAGAATGGCAGATGGCGTAGCACCGCCGGTAGCGGCATTCCTGTAATCCAAGTCATTTAGTGTCATTAGGCGTATTGCGCTGTATTGAGTTAAATGCGCAAAACATTTGGAGACATTTAAGTTTCATTTCTCTAATGGGCCAAATCGCGTATCGCTACCCACCATGAAGTTTCTTCTCAGTTTAGATTCCGAGAGGATTAGGCAAAAGTTATCATAATAGCTGATTTTTGTCTTTTTTTTATTTTAAATATGTATTCACCTTGTTTTCCTTTCTTTAAATAATTTTCTTGCTGTGTGCCTGTTTTTGATATATTTATAATTTTAATTTTATCTTAGTTGTTACCTATTAAGTCAGTATTCGTGTGAATCTGTAAGTGGCTCAATGTTACTATTTCTGCTAAATTTATGTAATGTAGCTGTTGATTCACCATTCAATAAATAAATAGATAAATAATGTACCAGAACAAGGTTGATATTACTTTGTAGTTTCCAACGGACTGACCTGTTGTTAACGAACCGTCCGTGCCGCAGTAGTAGGTTGTTGAGTCTGTCGTTGGCGTGCAGTAGTTCCCCGGTGAGCGCGGACTCGCCCGCCAGTCGCCCGATCAGCTCCGCCACGCGAGTCTGCATAGCGCGGAGTGTGTCTGCCAACTCCTGCAAACATATAAAGATAATGACATTTTATTACAATTATGCGCACAAGTGTTATTGATGGAAAAAAATATTAGACAATATTTTCTAAGTTTAAGAAAGTAAGAATACCGTATTTGGCTTCCTCTTAATGATTGGTAGGAACGTTAGATTACCTGATTAAATTTTCTACATTTGGACTTTGTTAATCTAATATCTTTACGTTCAGTTACATTTATATATTTTAATTTATAATATATAAAATATTAGGGAACACAGTGGAAAGTTCCCTAATATCGGAAAAGGAGGATCGTCCGACCAGGGTAGGTGATCGTGCCTGGCGGGCTTTCTGCCCAACAGTTGTTCGTTGGGATTTTCTATCCGTGTTAATTTGCATGTGCGATGGAGGATTTTTGTGACGTCATCCGTTGACATGTACCATGTGTCGCCACAAAATCAAAGATTATAGTGCTATTACAGCTGAATTCTGAAACGGAAATACCCAACAACAAACAAGCGTGTCGATTACTCAACAATCATCCTTATAAACAGACAAACAAGGTTAACATTTCCGTAGCCATTTCCTATATAAAAACGAACATAATAAAGTAGTGTCCTTGTACTGCAGTTCTTCATAAAAAGTGAAATCAATTCAATGAAGTCTTTGAACCCAGTAGCCTATACTTTACAGTAATTCGCGAAACCTTGACATCGTTCATGGATGATAAGTTTTATCTGTCATTGGTGCGTTATTTATACACGGTGGAGACGACAAAGGTTTCCTTATTGTGCATTTATTTAGTAAAAAAAAATCTATATACGATAAAACGCAGAACAGGTATAAGAAGCGCTTTATATTTTATTACTAGTGGTAGGTACTACTAAGATTTTATGTTCATTCGAGAGCGAATTAAGATTGAGATGCGATATTAGATCTATTTTGTTTAAACGTTGCTATACTAAGCTTTTCTTAAGACTTTTTCAAATAGAGATCAAGAACAACTAGCTATAGATCATTTACATTAATATCTCTGTATCATTTTATCACTCGAACATGCGTCAGCAGTCATCTGTTAGACATTAAAATTTACTTTAGTTTAAACATGAAAATGAAAAGGAGATATCTCAATTGACCTTTCCTCTCTTCATTCATGTCGGATGCCATTTTGTCGGCCACAATTTTGTCTTCTGCCTAATTAAAGAACGACTAAACTTGTTCAGAAATACCCCAATAACCTTAAAGGTACTACTACACAAGCTCATTGCTCTATAACAGCATGTTAAAAGGTATTCTATTGAGCATGCTTAAGCCTTTAAACTGTCAAACACTAAGCGGTCACTGGTGACCGCGACCTATTGTTCTATAATTGTGTCTATAATGACGGTACTGGACGAGTTAACTGGCGAGTAAAACTGTTAAAGGCCAATACTCCGCTAGCGTCGGACATTATTATCCGACAAGGCATCCATTGTGTTAAAAATGTTCATAAATCGAATGTCTCTATTCGCAAATATGCCCGAAATAAGCATGCTAATTTTGAGCAATAATCCAACACACATGCTCAATTGAAGCATGCTTTTGTGCTTGTAAATAGTAGCTTAACCTCTTGTCTGTCGATATATGAGACATAATAGAAAACACATTGTGTCTCGCGTAGAATAGAATAGAATATAGCTTTATTGTACACCATTAATAATATAGTACATACAGAAAAGGAAATTAAAGAAAAATATTAATGGGCATAAAGGCGGCACTCTTATCACTTATAGTCATTTCTACCAGACAACCTTTGGGTGGATATAATGAAGAGAGATATTTAGACGGGTTGTGTACTAAGAAAATAAATAAAGTAGTAATAATACATACATTCATACACATACATATAGACATGCATACATATACACATACATACATACATAAATAGATAAGAGTAACAAGTAATATTACTTACATTAAGCAGTTCGATGTCGGAGTCGTGGTGCGCGGTGTGTGGCTGCGTGGTGAGCTCGTTCAACATGTCGTTCATGACGTTCATGTTGCCCTCCACCACCGCCAGGTCGGCGCGCAACTTGTTCGTCTGGCTCTCTGATAGGGTCACCTGCAACATGGACAATACGAATGAGTGAACAGTTAATAGTATCGGTAGGAACAAAGGCTTGTGTGATGCCTTTAATGGTAGTCTGTAACCATAGCCCAAGTAAACATTTGTAATGCCTCTAATGTTATGTTTATCTAGTCTATAATAGGTATTGTGGAACACCAGTGGCATTGCAAATGTGTCGTTGACCACATAGGAAACCGCCATCATTAAATATGCCATCATTTTTGAGGACCCTTTCAACCGGGAAAATGATGTTGAAAATAAAACATATTAGACAGAATCTTTAGTGTGGGAGAGCCATGCTTCGGCACGAATGGGCCGGCTCAACCGGAGTGATACCACGGCCTAACTGAAAACCGACGTGAAGCAGCGCTTGCGTTGTGTTTTATCGTGTAAGTGAGATAACCGGAGGCCCAATTACCCTCCCCCCTCTCTCCCCAATCTCCCCAATCCCCGAATCCCCAACAATGCTCAAACTCCTAATCCCCAAAAGGCCGGTAACGCACTTGTAACGCCTCTGGTGTTTCAGGTGTCTATGGGTGACGCCGATTGCTTACCATCGGGTGATCCGTCAGCTCGTTTACCGGCTTGTGCCACAAAAAAAACTAAAATTAGATCCTATATAAGTCAATTTTGTAGAAAAGAATCCAAACAAATATACAAATAATGTAGCAGGTATACCCTGCCGATTATTTACCCGTTAGTCGATACTTAAATATACAATAAATCGGAAATCCTACATGAATCAAATGTCTTTTTTCTATGTCTAAATAGGTATATATGATTAGGTATAATATTTCATCATTGAAATTCGTTGGAAATGGACCTAGTGCTATTAATGTCAATGCTAAAAGCTTTTTAGATACAACATCATCAAGATATAAAAGACAGACCTCATTAGTATGAAAAACATCGCACATTCGTATTCATATTTTTCCATACAAAACGAATGTATTGCCGTCGCCTGTCTTTGTCGCTTTGGTTTCCTGCGGCGGTCAACTACCTCCATATTTCTAAGAATTCTAAGATATCTCAGATAAGCAGTTTAGTGTATAGTGGTAATTGTGTGAAGACCTTTTGTGTGGCTTTATCTACATTCTACACTTTCTAGAAAGACTTAAGAAATATACTGAATAATGTTCTACTAGTTTCGAACAACAGAGGGAGGAAGTTCTCATATGGAAGAATCCCTCTGTAGTTCGAAACTAGTAGAGCTAGTAATGTAATATATAGAGCTAGTAAAAGCACGAGTTACCTGCGATTTTCACTTAGTTTAGTATGTCTCACGATAGTTATCATAAAAACTAACAGAACTTAGACATTATCAAATTAATAACTACCTAAAAGTGAATATAGTACTAACACTACTTCTTTTTACCCGACTGCAGGAAGCGTATTGTTTATTTTCTCTTTTATATACACCACAGAAATGACATACATGGCTATAAAAATACACAATAGGGAAAATATAACATTCAATAAAAACATTGAATAAAAACAGATATGAAAGTTAGGACCATACATTTAATCGTCGAGACGCTTAACACAATATTGGACAAACATTGAAAATTGTAGTCTAGACTGACTTTATAGATGGCAATGTCAATAGCCTACACTTTGTATTCAAGAGTTTGTAATCATGAAGCTACTTTAAAACAAAGATATCATTTTGATAATTTGTTAAACAAAGGTTTATCAGTCTACGTAATGGATCGTAATCATTAACTAGTATTGTTTCATTGCACTTGAAAACTAATTATACATGAGTACTTGCACACGCTTACTTAAGTACCTATCTTTTTTGAGGGGGGAATATCAACCAATGCCATTTCCCGCATTGTGTCAGATGAGAGGTCTTCTCCTGACTAAAAACCGACCCGTTCCTACTCCTACTTCACACCGGAGTCCCGGTTACCCGTTCCGTTGTTACAGCTCCGTATTTAAGTACCTATGTCTGTGGTTGTGTTAATCAACCTCTTTGAATCAAGTGGTTTGGAACTTGTGTAGACTACGAGACGGCCGAATAAAATCCTTTTTTTTATGGAAAAGGAGGCTAACGAGCAGACGGATCACCTATTACTATTCCTACTCTATCTGCAGGTATCTTTAAGCTAACAATGGCTTCGATTTTGGGACAGAAGCGAGAGAGAACTTAATATTCACTACTCGTCTATCATACAAGTATATTGTGAACAAGGCATAAGGGACTACCTACAAGACCAGGCAGCAGCATTCTGTGTTAAACCTGACCGTTTTAAACTACCATCCCTAAACCGTCCGCCGTAAATTGAATACATAAAAATATTAATGTAAAAAAGAATTCGAGATTCATAAAGAACATTAATCCAGTGGCAAGTTTCATTGTTTTTACTAAAACATCGAACATTTATACCTAAGTATTGATAAACTATCTAATTATCTGCTCAAGATTATGATAATAGTTATAATATATGAAAATGTAAATAACTTACGGTTCCAGATATTTGTTCCTGCGTGGGTCGGCTGGGCGAGGTTTGCGGCATAGCTGAGCGTTGGGGCGACCCAATCATTGGTTCACCACTGTCCGGGACACTCTGTATAAAACTCATTGTCACTTAACAAGTAATAACTTTATAATTTAGTGAATAGGGTTCAAAATATCACTTTTTAAGATTTTACACAATATTTTAAAGCTTGGCTGGCCAATTATACATTTATAAAGAAAGAGAGTATATCGTGAACTGGTTGTTAGTAATAAATATAGATCGTTATCAATTATTTATTCATTATTGTTATATTTCGTAGAATGCAGCTTGATTTTATGCGAGCGATAAAATCGATGCCAAACGATTTAAATATCCAACTCTACCAAGTAAACAACTACCAAGATAATTTTGTTTTCATAGTTATTGCAAATGCTATTTATTTTTCTCTCATGTTGCTATAACTCGCGAACTTAAAGGATATTTATTCCTTACATCTATTTCAGCTTGAAAACAATAATCCCTTTATGGCATTTTATAGTATATGACCTTATCATAATCAATAAATAACCTTTGTTCACAAAGTGTTGACATATTTCTAGGAAACAATATCCTAAGATCCACCTCGAAGGATTAGTGGCTCGGAGTTTTACGTAATATTATACAAAACATGACTCATTTTGTTATAATTTATCGTTCGGATCATGATAGTACGTGTGTGAACCGATAAGGGACGAATAGTAGATAATATTACACTCATATGGCAAATATTAGAGATTTTTAGTGTAAAATTTTACATACCCTTTGCGGTGTGAATATGGGAGCCATCGCGTCTAAATCTGTCATTGGAAACTCCACCCCTTTAGTCCTCAATTCAGTGTAAACTTGTACGACGCCCTGAAACATTTATTATTACTATAAAATTCCGTAAAAGTTGAGTTCATCGCAGTAATAAAATGTACTGCGGTTTATTGATTTCCAACTGGTTCTGTGAAGGTGCATTGCTAGAATAATCTATGTACAAAGTATCGACCACTTTGAAATAGGTACAAGTTCGCTACCATACACCTGAATAACTTAGTAGATTTTAGGTACACGTCGAAGATATTTACTTAGCCTACTAGAACAGCAGTATTGGATAAACCGAGGAATCCACAATTAGATTTGATTCAATTTTACTGACAATATGGGTATAAATAAACTATCAAGTGTAAGCGGACAAAGCTGTTGACACCAACGATGACTTGTGACTGCTATTTTAGCTAAAACCTTATTTTTTGTTCCATAGTTAGCTGCCTATAAACCTACAGATAATCAACGGAACATTATTGTGTCATTTAGGCACCAAACTATGTATCCAAGGCTTTATCTATGGCTTTCGACGGCATGGACTTAATGCGTTGATAATCGTCCAAAGTGCCATTTTCAGAGGGACAAATGCCCTCAATAAGCTTAGTCATAAATTAGTATTTGAGTATTGAGTTATATGAGACTGCAAACTATAATATTGCTGGGTCATGCCGTTATTTGTAAATAATTATATCCATTAACTGAGTTAAAGCACGCGATATGATAACTATCTCGTATTTAAACTAATGTTTTATTTTGTTAAACAATAACTTACAAGTTAGAAGCGTTTAAACACATTAGAATTGAGTCTGTGAGTATCAATGCTAATCTGTTTGTTTCACTTTCGCCTAAACTGCTGGACTAATTTTGATGAAACTTAGAGCATAATATATAGATGCAGTTGAATCATGCATTGGATATCATTAAAACTAATTGCATTTCTTAATAAAAATAATCTTGAAAAACTGATTTTCGTGAAGTTCAAGAATTTTTTTCACTGTGGGAATTGACTGACAAGCTATTTAGTAAAAATTAATGTGAGAAAAGCCACGAATAAAACTAGTATCTTACTATTACGAACACATCAGGCGTGAACAGAGTATTTTCCTTTAATTGGATTAACCACTGAGCTGTTTTAGTAGATAGATATAATGAGATTGTTTGTTTGGAGCATTGAACCAAGAAAACATTCAGTGTACGGTGTGGTATGGTCCTATTTCATAGCTAAGTCTCTTGTGTTAAAAAATAAGAACTTATCTACATTTATGTTAAGCATTTAATTCATACTATGATTTGAGAGTTAGTGTCTTTACTGGATACACAGACACTTTCTAGTTTTTATTATCATTTACTCATTAGAAAGCATAGTTGTTGGAATCTAGATCAATTATGATGTTGTAGGTGCAAATCTGCAAATGTTCTTAGTCAAATGGACAATAGTATACCAAGTCAAACAGTATCACAAAGAATATTTCACGAAGAAATCGCGTAGGTAACGCTTACATAATTCCTGGTCACATGAATTTGCTATTTGATTCAATTTGATTGTAATATCCACACACAACTGATGATGATGACTAGCGATGACCTATACAATTGAAGCCGCTTCGAGACGGAATTGAAAGTTTTGACCTTCTCTCAATATAACAAGCATATTGGGAATACTCTTTATTACGGGTAGGCCCGTGTAAAATATAGCGATTTATATGTATCAGTCTTTTTTATAACAAGTTATAACAAGATCTTTTGAAGACAAATATATGACATTTATAAATTATTGGAAGAGTCAAGTAGGGGCGACAACAGAGAATTGTCTTACGGATTGGTTGTTTTAAAGGTCATAACAATAGAACAACTTTGATTAACTGACATTGATCGGAGTCAAAGAAACGGCAACAATTCCGACTCCTACCGATAAATCGAAGACCGCGTTAATATATGAATGGAGACAAAGCGAAAGATTGCAAGCAACTTGCTCATGGTTTAAATTGGAATCGATATGACTATAGAATCCCATTTCTACCAGGTTTTTTTTTTTTTATGGAATAGGAGGCAAACGAGCAGACGGATCACCTGATGGTAAGCGATCAGCGCCGCCCATGGACACCCGCAACACCAGAAGAGTCACAGGTGCGTTGCCGGCCCTTTAAAAAGGAGTACGCTCTTCTCTTGAAGGTTTGAAGGTCGTATCGGTTCGGAAATACCGCCGACGACAGATCATTCCACAGTTTTGCTGTGCGAGGCAGGAAGCTACGTGAGAACCGCACAGTTGTGGCCTGCCAACCATCTATATGATGGGGATGCATATGCTGTCGTGAGGGTCGATGGCGAAAAGATGCGGCAGGTATCAGGTCAAACAATTCCTCAGAGCACTCCCCGTGGTATAAGCGGTAGAAAATGCACAATGAAGCTACATCTCTACGCATTGCCAAAGTGTCGAGCCGGTTTGAAACATCCGGACATCCAACAATCCGAACGGCACGCCGCTGAATGCGGTCCAGAGGAAGAAGCTGGTACTGGGGTGCCCCCGCCCAAAGATGAGAACAGTATTCCATGTGGGGCCGCACCTGTGCCTTATATAGAAGCAGGCGGTGGGTCGGGGTGAAATACTGCCTCGATCTATTGAGCACACCAAGCTTCCTCGAGGCTAATTTGGCCTTATCCTCTAAATGACCGCAAAACTGGACGTCGCTCGAAATATTGACACCAAGTATTCCAATACCGGCTGAGGCAGTTAGGGGGGTGCTTTGAAACTGAGGAGAGACGACCAACGGCAGTTTCTTAGCGGTAAACACGCAGACTTGTGTCTTAGTGGGGTTAAATTGGACCAAATTAAGTCCACCCCAATCAGAGATTCTCCCTAAAGAGGTCTCGATTTCAGACACGAGTCTGTTTCGGCTCTCTATGACGTTTTCCCGAGAAATGTTAGCGCGGCCGGTGTAGTAGGCATCGCCTGTGCTGTCATCCGCATAACAATGAATGCCGCTGATTTGCAGCATGTCATTGATATGGAGGAGGAACAATGTAGGCGATAGCACGCAGCCTTGAGGGACGCCTGCATTTACAGACATCAAGTCAGAGCATTCACCGTCGACGACGACTTTAATGCTTCTGTCTGCAAGGAAGTAGGAGACCCATTTGCATAATTTCTCGGGAAGTCCGTAGGAAGGAAGCTTCGAAAGAAGCGCTCTATGCCAAACCCGATCGAAGGCCTTCGCCACGTCTAAACTTACTGCCAACGCTTCCCCCTTAGACTCGATCGCCTGTGCCCACCGATGCGTTAGGTAAACAAGGAGATCACCAGCAGACCGACCTTTACGAAAACCGTATTGCTGGTCACTGAGCAGCTGATGATCCTCTAAGTAACGCAGGAGCTGGCAGTTAATAATGGACTCCATTATTTTCGAGAAGAGGGAAGTTATGGCTATCGGTCTGTAGTTAGACGGGTTAGATCGATCACCTTTTTTAGGGATTGGGTGGACTAAAGCTGTCTTCCAGGACGTCGGAACTACGCCTGAGGAATAAGAGAGCCGAAAAAGACGTGTGAGAACTGGGGCCAACTCGGGGGCGCACATCTTCAAAACAATGGGTGGGATCCCATCAGGCCCGCTCGACTTATGGACGTCAAGGGATAAAAGCGCCAAACGTACCGTGCGCTGGTGGAACCGCACATCCGGCATATACCTTCCGCACCAAGGCACAACAGGAGGCTCGCGCCCACCGTCATCCAGTGTCGAGTTGGATGCAAAGATTTTTGCCAAAAGTTGAGCCTTATCCCTTGCGTTATGAGCCAACGAATCCTCACCCATGTGCAGAGGTGGAAATGACGGCCTGCAGAAATTGCCCTCGATAGCTTTGGCGAGCGACCAGAATGAACGAGTTCCTGAAGGAAGGCGCTCCAGCCTCTCACCAATTCTACCGATGTGCTGCGACTTGGCACCCGCAATAGCTCTTTTGAAGGACTTGGAGGCAAAGTTATACTCCTTTTTTAGTGCACTGGTATTTACATCCCGTGCCACCGCCGCATCGACCCAGGCTTGGTAGGCCTCCTGCTTTCTGCGTGAGGCCTTTCTGGTAGAAGCATCAAACCAGGGCCGATATCTGCCACCGACGGGGACCAGAGAAGATGGGACGAAAAGCTCCATCCCCTGCAGCACCACATCAGCAACAGAATTGGCAGCGGCGTTGGGATCATCCTGCAAGAAGCAAGCCCGCCTCCAAGGGTAGGATGCAAAAAAGGACCGCATCCCATCCCAATCTGCCGACCTATAGTGCCATACACGGCGACCGCGTACCTCTTGTAGTCGCGGTGTGCACGTCCAAGATACAGAGCTCCGGACAAGGCAATGATCCGATGAGCCAAGAGGGGCTTCGACGGATACGCTGTAGCCGTCCGGGTGAGAGGTCAGCAGAAGGTCCAACAGTGAAGACCTCTGGCCTTCCACATCCGGGATTCGCGTGGGTACGGTCACCAGTTGTGTTAGGCCAGAAGCAAGAGCCAAGTCGTGGACAGATCTCCCCGCGTGGTCAGTCTTACTGGAGCAGAGCCAGTCGGCGTGATGGGCGTTGAAGTCGCCAAGCAAGACCACTTCCGCTGAGGATATCTGCCCCTGCACAAGATCTACAGCCGTCTGGATGTGGTCCATGAGTCGGTCAGTCTCGCTATCACCGCTATGGGACCTATATAGGCACGCGTAGACACGGGGGTGGTCGTCGTTATCTACACGCAGCCATAAGGTGGACAGGTCCCTACCTTCAAGATTACTGAGGCGACGTGAGCTGATATCGTCCCTGATGTACACGCACACCCCGGCCCTAGGCAGGAAGGAATGTTCCAGTCCATACCCAGGGTAGGTGAGGTAGGATGTGTCCAACGGAGACGATATCTGCGTCTCAGTCAAAAAGAGCAAGGCCGGCTTTGCTGTCTCTAGGTGGTGATGGACAGCATTGAGGTTGGTGTGTAATCCCCTTATGTTGCAGTAGTCCTCATTCAGCGTTTCAAGGGGTGCCATGGTTATTCTGCTCTTGCCTCCAGCTTTACGATGCGCAGTTTTGCCCCCCCCAGAGTACGATGTGGGGCGGCCTGGACGTCCACGCTCAGAGTAGTTGAGTTCTGAAAATGGACGTCCAGAGAGGGATTCTCCAACGCAGTTGGTACCCTCCTGGGGTAGAAACTCTTGTATCAACTGCGACATTATGAAGGGGGGGGGGGCCTCCGGTACCCTCACTCACTCGGTGAAACACAGCGCAAGCGCTGTTTCACACCGGTTTTCTGTGAGGCCGTGGTATTACTCCGGTCGAGCCGGCCCATTCGTGCCGAAGCATGGCTCTCCCACGGTTGCGTCATAGTAACAACTTCTTATGGTGTACATATTATATCTATCTACAAGCTTAGCTATCTATACATATAAATAAACAAGAATTTCCGTTCGTTAGTCTCTCTAAAACTCGAGAATGGCTGAACCGATTTGGCTGATTTTGGTCTTGATATATTCGCGAAAGTCCAGGGAAGGTTTATAGGGCGAGAAAAAATTTATAGGCGGTACAAGGTTTGCCGCCTTAGCTAGTTACACAAATAAAGATAAGGGTGTTATTTTATAATTTACCTGTAAATCAGGCTGGTTCTGGAAAGCATCTGCCCAACACTGGATTAGACTGAGCACCTTCTCTTGCACCACTGTTGGAGGGTCATTCTTGGGGCCAATGAGTTTAACCTAGAAAAAAAAAAGGAAATTAAAAACCTTGCTGAACTAAAATAGACTTTAAAATCTAAGTTTTAAGTAATTTTATTGTATCAACACAGGATGATAATAGAAGGATATAGTATGTAATATTTTTTCCTAAAGCAGATTGAAAAATAAACAGTTTATAATTAAAATATCCTTATAACCTACATATATTTTTCAATATTGTATTTTCCGTTAATACTTTACGGAGGTAGATAACCGTTAAACATTAATTAAACTAGTTTTGATAATATATGCACATTGATAATGTGACATGTATAGTTTGGAGGCCAATAACAAGTTATTTTTTGTGAGATATCCTACTGATAGTCAGAATATATAACAAACAATAATATGGTGTCTTGACATCAAATATGTAGCAACTTGAACAAAGTCAAAGTCAAAATCATTTATTTCAATTAGACCAGAAAGGCACTTTTAAACATCAACAAAAAAATTAAAAGTGAACCTATTTGCTCATTCCAAGGTGTAGATTCCTATGGAGAAGAACGAGCAAGAAACTCCATAGGTTGCTCTTTTTCAATCAGGTTCACAATACAATTTTCTAGTTACATAGTTTTGCTGTGTGGTGTAGAGAACCAATAAATATTGCAACACTGCAGTATTTCATTTGCTAGCATATAGCTTTAACTGATGTCAACAAATATATGTATGTATTTATGTAGTAAGTAATAAATAATGAAAGATGTTATTGGTAACTCTATGTCACTGTGGAATAGCTGTTTAAAATCACATAATTATGTTAAATAATATTGTGAAATCTGGTTTTGTTCTAACTACTTTGTTTTCAAAACAAATTAGATAATTATTTAAAGTAATCTAACAGCTACCATAGTAGTTCCATATGCTTGTTATTAAGTAACTATAATTGTTTCAAAAAAGATACAACATTTTTAATCTTATACTATTATACAAGGCTGAAGAGCTTGTTTATTTGTTTGTTTGAACGCGCTTATCTCAGGAACCACTACTTAGTACGATTAAAAAAAATATTTTTCTGTTGGATATTTCATTTATCGAAGAAGACTATAGGCCTAAAAACATCCCGCTACGATCAATAAGAGCCGAGCAGAGCGGGTGAAACGGGAGTAGCTAGTAATTTAAATAAAAATACATTTTACATCCTAAACGCATTTATACCCTGTACATCTAATATAACACATTAAATACATAAATGAATGCCTCGTTGGTCGAGTGGTTTCAAGTGCGACTGCCGGGCAAGGGGTCTCGGGTTCGATTCACAGGTAGGGCAAAGTATTACTGGGTTTTTTAAAAAATCTCAGTAGTAGCACAGAGTCTAGTATTGTGCCTGGTATATGGCAATAGGTTCACCCCCTATTACGTGAGACTCATAAATAGGGAAAAATGCGTGTTACATTGTACAGTGGCGTTAAGTGCCGTAAATGTGCACTTCTGCCTACCCGTGCCATAAAAGGCGTGATATTATGATTACATAACTACTATACCTTGTGTGTAAACAAACTAATAATAAACGCAGTTTCATAGTGCATAAAATTGCAGTCATAACACATACATTGTACATATAAGGTAGGTTAGAAACTATGAATCATAATTAGCAATTGACTCATAGGAACCTATGAGCACAGGAAACCGAGAGGAATATAATATAGTACAGTGTCATGGTAATTGGCATCATGTCAAATGATACATTTATGAATAAACTGACTTCTGCCAGAACTTTTGTTTTCTTTCCCAGGATAAAAGGTAGCAGATTTAACAATCTATCTCTATGCCAAATATCATGCAGATTTGTTCATTAGTTTTTTTTAACAATCTATCTCCATGCCAAATATCATGCAGATTTGTTCATTAGTTTTTGAGTTAAAGAAGAACAAACATACATATATATACAGGCTTACAAAACAAAAAACTACTAAACAAATTGCGAGGCAGTTTTCACCAGTAAAAAGTTATTATTTTAGAACATTTTGGACCCTGTTAAGCAAGCAGTTAACATTCAACCCACATTTTATTGCTTTTGAGTAAATGAAGTTTAATGTTGGCCAGATAAAAAGAAAAAATCATATGATTTGACACAGTACCTACCTATTGGTTATTATTATTAATAGGTACTGTATGTATCATACGATAACTTTAAACTTTATTTATTTATAGATGTACTAGCGACCCGCACCGGCTTCGCACGGGTGCAATATGTATATACATACAAATCTTCCTTAAGAATCACTCTATCTATTAAAAAAACCGCATCAAAATCCGTTGCGTAGTTTTAAAGATCTAAGCATACATACGGACATACAGCGAAAGCGACTTTGTTTTATACTATGTATTGATATAAGTCGTAAAAATTTGTAAGATTATGTAAGGCTAGTAATATTTTTAAGGTCAAGGATAACTAATTTTGCAATTCCTTTTATTTATTTACTGGGTTAAGACAATTGTGTTAACTTTGTAGTTATTACAGAATGCATAAAGTATGAGGTGTATGTATTTATTATTTACACATCTGCTAATGAAGGTTGTTGTAGCAGAATGTTTTACAGTTTTGTATAGATTTTATGACTAGTGAACTGAATTTATTTTACTGAATTATTAAACTAATGTGTACACACTATACATAGTAAAAAAGTAGAGTAATTACTATGACAATATGAATTTGAATTGAATTAATTATAAAAAAAATATTTAAGTATGAATGATTTTAATGTAATTAAGATAATTTGACTAACTTATGTATGACTGCGATTTTAATATTATTTTATTGCATTTATTTGAAAAAGTTAATGTATGGTATAAATATTTATTTTTTGGATCTCTTAGATGTCCGAAATAAATGATTATAATTATTTTTATTTATTCACCCATTTACTAAATTCCATTTTACATCACTTTACTTTTTTATCTTACATCTTACGCTATTATGTAAAGCTGACGAGTTTATTTGTTTTGTTTGAACACTAATCTCTGGTACTATTGGTCTAATTTGAATAATTATTTTTCTGTTGGATAGTCCATTTATCTAGGAAGGCTATAAGCTATAAAACATCACACTATAACCAATAGGAGCCGAGCAGTAGGTCAAATCACATGGGTGTAGCTAATTATAAATATTTCATTCATTATCTTATAGTCTCCTCTCAAATACCAAAGACAGCATCATTCAAGATTAACCTTCGAGATAAACATTGCTATCAGTTGAACTATAAAGTTGAATATTTATGTGGAATGACTCATGTCATTAGTTTGTGAGTTATCAGTGTTCACCTGCTAATCTAAAGTATTTATATACCTGTTTATATGTAGTTACCTACCTATATCTACATAAAATTCGAGTTCCTTTATTCATTTAAGTATTAAATGTAGGTATATGAACCTCATGTCTGTCATTATATAAGACGCAATAGAAATCACAGGTGTCTCGCGTAGATCTATTCGACAGTTCACAGGTTAACCCTTTGAGTAAATACCGTCATTATAGACACAATTAAAGAACAATAGGTTGCGGTCACCGGTGACCTCGCGGTGTTTAACAGTTTAATGGGAATAATTCCTAAGCAATCCTTATAAGAAATACTAATTATGAATAATTATTGTTAAAATGCAAATAAGATTATTATTTAAAAATTGTCCTTAAAAGAATTACCAAGATGAAACAAAGCCAAACATAAATTCCTAACATTGAGTAAGAGATGCAGGTATATAGTGATTTATTTCAAGTTTTCCTGTACTTACATTTATTTAATGACTTCTATAAGTATGAATCAGTTTGCCTGCCTATTGTTATTGTTCTATAGGTTTCTATATCAAGCACTTATCAAATGCATACAAAGGCATAGGTAAACAGATTTTGTGATAACATGTAATCACTGTGTATTCTTGTTTTGACAGTCGCTACCGGGTGATAAAGAGTATAGAGTAATAGAGTTTTTATTTGATTATAAGCCTATGATATTATGAATAGATATTATTATTGATGCTCCACTTACCAATTCAGATATAAACTCCTTGTTGCAAGCCTGGACATGGAAAGACTTGCCACAGTTCTTTACACAGGTCTCAAGCACAGTCAGAGTGTGCATCACAATTGTGTAGTTCTTCCCAGCACTCTGTGTCAACCTCTTTCTTATAGCCTTTATGGCATCCTTAGGCCCATCTGTGCTACTGTTCACAATATCACAGATTTCCATATTAAGGGCCCAGTTTTCCGACGGTAAGGATCCATCTGTAGCTTGTTCTGAAACAATATTTCAAATCGTAATACAAAGGGTCAAAGCAATTAACACCAACTTCTTATGGTACAGCGTACAAAAGAAAATGACAACAACTATGTTCTTATAGTACTTTCAATAAAATTGCCTAACATTTAGTTACCGTGACACCACAACAAAGAGAAATTGAGATCTTCTAGTGCGCAACAAAAAGAAATGGAACAGAGGGTACGGTATTTTGATATTTTAGAAAGTGATGAAAAATGGAGCTTATACAAAATGAATCCTTACCTATTTTTTGCCCTACCGGCGTAGAAAAGGGATTTCCTACACCAAAGAAAGACATCTTTGGAAATTAATCACGTATTTATCAAAATGATTTCACCGATTTCACTTGTCACCAAAAACGCAATGCACAGATAAAATATACGCGCAGTATCTGTCAAATTAAATAAATTTCGTTCAGAAATATTTATTAATTACAAATTATCGATCAATAAGGAAAACACAAATATAATTGCACAAAAAACTAAAAATTAACTTGTACAAATTGAAAAAGCTCTCTAAAATACTCGTATCCCAGAATTCCTCTTTTAATTATTTATATTTAAAGAGGTCTATGATTTAAAGTATCAAATCAATGTATAAAATGCACAAAATAATCAACGTAATATATGAGAAAAGAACTGTGATTTAAAAAAAAGCGGCAAAATTTAATTTTTTTTTAAACTTCTTGCTGTAATGTACAAAAAGTAAATTAAAAAGTTTCATTTATTTTTGTTTCTGAAAGAATAAACAGCGTAATTTAAAAATACAGCTTTTGATTAAATTGTCAGTTACTATAGCAACCTCAGAAATAAAAATATTATTTAAATCAATAAGCAGGCAATCTTTGATTTACGCTTTGTTTATAGAAATCTTATAAAAATGAACGCTTTGGATCAAGATTCGATGCCACCGAAGCGATCTTTGAATAGTCTTATTATCCACCCGGATGTGGAACCGGGTGTAATCGATAATGCTATGCTCATACGATGTATTTTAGAAAATGGTAAGCGAAGGAACCGGTTTTTACTTTTATCTGATCATGATTATTGTTTTTGCCTTTACCTACTATGTAGATATAAAATTGATACCTAGTTAATCATTTCAAATCTTAAAAAAAACCCTACATTTTCTAATTAGGTCCAACCGAAGAGGCTGGTAGACTTTTTGCTGAAGAAGGTGTCCATCTAGATGAAGCTCAAGAAGTAAGACTGGAATTCCAAAAAATACTAAGAATCGATCATCTCTGGATGCTAAAGTCTTTAAGAAAGCTCACTTTAGCTCACAATTTAATTGAGAAAATAGAACATTTGGAACTACTCACAGGACTCAATGAGCTTGACCTATCCTTCAATAAGATTGAAATGATCGAGAATTTGGATGCATTAGTCAATTTAGAAGTGTTGACATTGTTCCATAATAAAATACGGAAACTGGAAAACTTGGATGCGCTAGAAAATCTTCTCGTATTCAGCATTGGAGACAATAAGATAGAAGATTTTAAGGAGGTTGGTTGACGTTTTAGACTGGGATAAGTGGACCATTATCTAAATAATCACGAGATAAGAGTATCGTGTAATAAGGGCGAAGATATTCATACATCTGTGAACTCCATTTCACAACTTCAGAATTTCGAAAATCTAATCCGTTGACGTTTGCCTGACTCGGACATCGAACCCAACTGCAGTTAAAATATAGGTACATTTCCATTACACAAGAAGAATGCTTGCCTAATATTTTTTTGTTTTCTAGATGGCGTACCTTCGCAGATTTCGTAAATTACGCTCGGTAAGTTTCAAAGGAAACCCATGCTGCGATGACCCCATGTCCTACCAGTTCTTGAAAGCAGCTCTTTCGAGGGTCACCTACCTGGACTATAAGATTGTCACTGAAGAAGAGAGGGAGAACGGAAGAGCTATGTTTAGGTAAGTCCTTAGTTATCCTCTGGTGTTGATTACCATCAGGTGATCCGCCTGTTCACTTACAGTTACACTCATTGATGCTTAATTGCAGAGGTCTTTTACGGAAAATGGATGAAGCGGATGAGAAGACAGAACAGGAGAGGATAGCTAAAGAGGAGTACGATGCAAAAGTCACGTTCTACGCCATGTCCTTCGTGGAATACCTCAGTGGACCTGAACTCATTGAAACCATGTTTGAAAAGGACCCTGACGGGCAGATACTTCTCAGCTTCGGTGGAGAACTTCAAGCGTATTATGATCAGTAAGATTTTTCCTTCAATACGAATAAAGCATTTAGTCCTAAATTAAATAGCAGTCGTATTGGTGATTTCATACCTCGTTATTTCAAAAGACATCTTGCAAATTTATCAGCTCTCTTGCTTATTACCGGTTCATTCATTATTCATTTACAGGTATAGAGAGAACTACGTAGAAACGATGGCTAATCTGGTAGAATTTGCCCAAGAAGCATACAAAGACAGACAACACGAAATCAAACTGTTTAAGAACCTCGTAGATAGTGCTCTCGACGATAGTGTCGAGAAAAGTAAAAAGTAAGTACCAGATCATCTGCTAACAGGTAATCTTGGAATGACGATAAGGGGTATAAGAAATGATATTTTAGTGGCAATGAGGTTGTGGGAATGATGATTGGATATCAATATATCCAATAGTGATATATATACATATATATATATATATATTAATAAGTAATATATATTATATATAGTGGCAATGCTGCCAGTCTTCTGGGGTCGTTTTCCGGTGATAGTGATGCGGACGAATACTTTGACGCCTAATATTTGTTGTGGGTATAATTTTTATTGTTTTCTTTTTTTTACTTTCTTTTTATTCAATAGTTTAGTTATAGTTAATTTTAGTTTGTAAATATTTTTGTAGTTATACCTACCTAGTTTTATTCCTGATCCTGTAAAGTTATATTCTTAATAAAACTGAAGACTATTCAATCATCACATTTCGAAATCGGACTGGGTTTCATGACTTTTCTATTTGTTTACCTACATTAAATTAATTCCATCAGAGTGTTGGAAGAGTTCCAAACTAAGAAGAAGCCGATAATGGCTCATGTCGCAGAAATTAGCAACAAGTTCACGACGAAACAGATCAGCTTGGAGCAGATGGAACCGATGCTGTTGGAGATTGGGGAATCATACCATGAGCTGCTGTATGAGCTGTGGAAGAGCCTCATGACTACTGAGATGCAGCTGTTTGAACAATGCGAGGTAAGGAATTGAAAATTAGTGCCTATTCTAGGTTGTCTAGCCATTCTCGAGTAATTTACCTTTTTACTAGTAGGTTAGGTACTAGACTAGACAATAGTTGTATAATGGACTAATAAGTTTTTGGGGTTGATCAGATTCTGTTCTAATTTCTTCACCAAACAAATTCATAAAGGGCTGCCTTCTAAAATCGGGCGGGCTTTCAGCAGAAGTCTATTTTTCTTATCAAAAATATTTAAGAATTATATTTCGTACCTAACAACTTTGTCTTCACCTCCGCGCCTCTCCAGGACTCTCGCGTCCAATTCTCAGTGAATATGACGGAAATGGTGACGAAGTTGCTGGAGGTGTCTCGCATGGCGTTCGGATCGTGGCGTGAGCACGAGGGCGTATGGTCCACGCGACAGTTCGAAGTGCTTTCTAAATACCTCGGGAACAAGATCATGCTGGGAGATGCGTCGCCTGAACTTTTCGATGTGAGTGGCATCATAGTACTTGAAGGTTTTTATGACAATAAATATTGTTTTAAGTTATTTGAATTGAGCCGTGCCATTCTTTGGTTTGAAACCATTTTGCCATTTTTAAATGGGTATAAGGTACTTTGCTAAAGTGAACTAAACTAGATAATAAAATTTATAGTGTCCTGCATACTGCTATACCCGTTAATACTTACATTTCGAAAAGGATTATACATATATAGGTACCTAAAATTATTATCTCCTATCACATATTTGACCAAGTCACCATTTTCTATCATGAGAGCTAAAGTTGATTAAGTTTATGCTAAAAGTAATAAAGCATAGGTACATATTCATTTAAAGGTAATGATGGATCGCGACCTCTTGATGAACCTCGTGGCTGCATCATCAGACACTCACATGCGCTTCATAGATGCACGAGAAGATCTGCTCACGTCCCGCGCTAATGCCTGGCGTGAAGAACTCGTCCAAGGAACCAATGAGTGAGTGTCAAAGTGTTCATTCATTACATAAGGTTGAGGGGCCAACTTAGAAGATCCGAGATCTTGATGGTGAACTCATTATGGTGATATTTGGGTTTGGGTACACTCTTGAAGAAGTTTAGACGAGGTACGTATTCTTAACCAGCGTGTGTTTAACCGAATTCACGAATGTGATGCAATCATAGAAGCCAAAGTAAGGATCGGAGTAGGAGGTAATAAAAGTAGCACGGAGCAATTGAAATTCAGTTAGCTTCTGAAATCCAACTGACCAATTTGAAAGTGTTTGGGCCATTTACAATGTTATTTTCTCCACAGCAATGAAATAAAACGCAACAGGGACAGAATCCTGGAGATCAACTACTTCATAGACAACCAGCGCGAGGAGTGGGCAGACATGCACATGGCACTAACCGATACTGTAGATCCTGATGCTGTGGCCTTGTTGGGAGAAGATTTTTAACACTATTATTATTAAATGTATTTATCATATGTTATTGGTTTATATTTGAACATTCTATATCAACTTGGCATACCTTACTTTGATCTAAGTTCTTGATAGTTTTTTATTTGTCCGATTCCAATTTAGTATGGGGTCGTAGTAGGTGGATTAAGTATCATAAACTATTTTACATCAAATTGCGACTAAAAACAATATTTTATCAGTTATTTTTTTAATAGGTATACAAAAAAATTTGAGTTATTTTAATAGGCACTCACTCCCGCGTGGAAAGCTCCTTGGTTTGGTGGCTATATTTTTTGGTCCCGCGTCTTTTTGCGACTTCAGTGTCACTTTATTTAGGTAAACTAGCTTTTGAACTAACTAAACTTAAGCAGCTTATTTAGATTTAGCCGACTTTTTCTTCTTTAAATTTTCCATGAAAGTATCCATTAACTTTTGAACTTCCGCGCTTGATATAGTGTTTACGAAGTTAGTTGTGTATTGTTGTTTGTTTTGTTCGATTTTCTTTAGGTAGTCTTGTCTGAAGTTGCGCTTAGTGTTAATTCGGGCTGTCACTGGTATTTGATCGTACAATCGTATGTAAGCCTTGCATTTCTCTATTGCGTCTTCTTTATCTGCTGCTACCTCATCCACCAGACCCACCTGGAAAGTAATTTGAATTTTTATTTTAATCTTGTAGTTAGCAAACAAAATGTAACATTAAATCTAAATAACGAAGTGGGTAGGTAATTTATTACTACTTTAAAAATACATTACTTTTAATAAATTAGTACCTAAATAAATAAAAATATAAGATAAAATAATACACTTTTTACATCATATTACACAGTTATAAACAAACTGCATTGAATAATATACCTGCAAAGCTTTCTCAGCCGAGTACATATATGAACTAGTAAGGGCAAACTCCGCATGTCTAGGCCCCATCACTCGGGTCATCAGCTCACCCAGCCATGGAGCTGGTGGGATACCAACTGCTGTGTCATTCAACCCCATGACGGCCTTACCAGTCGTCATTACGCGGTACTCAAATGCCAGGCACAGAATAAAGGCCCCGGCTGCTGTGTAACCCTGGAAATAAAGGTCGAAGTCCAATGGTTACTGCTAGGTTACACTTTATGGTTGCTCAATAATAAACATATACCCATTACCAATAAAAAACATCTTCCTATCTCCCAATTTTGACAATATCGTGGTGGTGACCACCTAACGGAAAGACCAGGGTGCTTACTCTTGAAACCAATCTCAATGTCAATGCAAATTCAATCCAATAAAATCTCAATAATTATTCAATGTCAAAAATATACAACCCCTATCGTAGCTATTAAAATAGCATTCAGAGTACGGAATATAAAGCCAAACTCAATACCGTTTAGTTCATTCAATATCCACGCAATAAAGCCCCTGGGGGCTTACTCTTGAATCCAATTTCGATCGATCGACATTGGTATTGTGAAATTTCTTACTCTTGAGTTGCAACTCTAGCGCCTATTGCATCCGTATTGCGTGGATATTTAATGAACTAAATTGTATTGAGTCTGGCTTTATATTTCGTACTCTGAATGCTATTTTAACAGCTTCGATAGGGTTTGTTTAGTTTTGACATTGAATAATTATTGAGATTGTATTGGATTGAAATTACATTGACATTGAGATTGGTTTCAAGAGTAAGCACCCTGAGCTAGGTTTTTCCGCTAGGTGGATACTCAGTAGACCATAGAAGGTGCATGCACACTACCCTCCAAAATCTAAAGTTTTACGGATACGGAGGCATTGTAAGTTGATATATTTTTATGAGTAGGTACCTACTTATGTAAGTGTAATGTTATTTTGGTGTCATTCATTTGAGATTAGATAAAGGAGTGATGAAGCATAATTTTTTAACTTATTTCGACCTTTGTAACCACTACGTACTTATCTACCTACCCCTTACTGAACAAACATTTTCGATAATATCAGATAGTCTGAATGGGATAACATTTATAGAACGTTATTTATAGGTATACCTACATTTTAGATGCGTAGGTACTATTGTCGAAAAACTACTCACATTGATCGCAACAGTTGTTATAAGGTCCGACCCAAACACTTTCATAAAGGCATCAAAAAGAGTCTCCTTCATCTTAGTCAAACGTTTTACATCTGGTTTGTGTAATTCATTTAAGTCGATTCCCGCTGAAAATATCGTTGGACTTGCCTGGAATTTGAAATTATAACACTTAAGGTTAGTAAATCAGGAACTCGGTATACCGTCGGCGTCGGTGTAGTTAATAGTATTTTTTTTTATGGAATTGGAGGCAAAACAAGCAGACGGATCGCCTAATGGTAAGCGATCAGCGATATTAACTAATAGATAAGAAATACAAAGATTATTAAGGTCTGAGATTGTTTATTTTTCTTACAGTGTCAGCAGCACAGAAACATTATGTCGTAACGTACCTAATGTTAGATTTCATACTTAGATGCTATCATTTAAGTATGATTAGTCATTTAATTATCATGGTGCTTCCCATTTATGAAATTTTTCAGGTACTGTATAATTAATGATAATTCTATCCAAGTACTTACCGACGTGAAAACCAAGCCTTTGCATTTATTTTTTTCAATTTCAATCACTGAATCTTTTATCGCCTGAAATAAATCCAGGTTTAAACTGTTCACTGGTAGTCTCTGCATCTGCAGTGTTGCTATTCCTTCATTGTCCACGTCTATCGATACTAAAGGTGCCACTTGCGAAGAGTTCCATCGTGAACACGCCACAATACTCCTCGGTATGCGCCGTAAATGAAACATTTTGCAACGAACACTACAAACTCACTTGTTTATGTGCAACTTTCCGATGTTTGCAACAAAATATATACGTCTTACAGTTTTTTTGATAAGAATTAAGTAATATGTATTTTCATTATGAATTGAGCGCAAGATAACACATTATCAAAATAGATAGGCACCACCGTTTTTAGCGTTATTTTACTACAGTCCGCTGGTACGTGTTAACCTTGAATGATTAAAACCACGAAAAAGCATATGCTAGACATTATTTACATATCATCGGACGTCATACCTATGTGAATATCGTAGTATGAATTGTATGTTTGTTTATCAGTTCAGTTTCTTGACCTGGTAGTCTATTATGTAAGATGTCAATAGATCAATTCGAACTCTCGAAGTGAGCTCGATCGCGTTCTCGCCAATCATTGGTTTGGATTAAGTATTTTCACAGCCAATGACATGGCGGACCACGATCGAGCTCACTTCGAGAGTTCGTATTGACATCTTATAGGCTTTTTTTTTTTTAAGGGGGTAAAATCATCGAATGACTGCTCCCGCCTGGGTGAGGCGGGAGGGAGTGTCAGACTCTTACTGACTAAAAACCACCCCGTTCCTTCTCCTGCACGTCGAGCCGGAGCCCCGGTTACCCGTTAGGTTCTCCGCGACTCCGAATCGGTATCGGCCCTATTGGCCATTGGGCCCCATCTGTGGTCTGATGGCTCTTTGAGGCGCGCGCGGAACGCGACGCACCGTACGCTCGGGACATCTTATAGCCTAGCTGTATTTGAAATGTGCATGGTGAAACATATTGCGCAATATGATACACTTTCTAACTAGAACGTAGTTTTAGTTCAATAGTTAATAGTAATACAATGCAATAAGTACTAACACAGCCGTCTCCCTTTGGGGTAGAGTAGGCAGAGACAATCAAACGCCAAATAGATACCATGATTCTAGCATACCTACCTACTCATTTGCGTTGACACAAGATATGAATAAAGAAATTGTTAAATTCGTTTATATTTTTCAACATTTTTTTTTATCTTTGTGAAGTTAAATATAATTCTTATTGTACGAGCAAAGCCACACCCGCGTGCATGATTAACACAAAATTAGTTAAAGAAATAAAATGTATTAGGTAGGTGACAGCACAATAGCCCACAAAACCGTTCGTTTTATAAAATTAAGTAGGAGAATTGCATGTTGTTGACAGGAATAATTTATACATCTATCTAAAATACGTATTTATTTAATAGGTAGGTCTAGGTACCTATATTAACGATCCCGGAAACGGATTTATTAGAATTTCTTGAAATTTTGTTACTGGGGGTTTCAGGGGCGATAAATAGATCTAGCTAGGTTACATTTTCAGAGACAAATAAGTATGCCATTACCTTACTTTGATCACTAAATTATTGTTTTATTTTGTCCTGATCTCAGCTAGTGTGGGTCGTAGTAGGTAGGTAGGTAGGTACAGTGGAGTTGATTGAACTTCACTATTTTACATCATCATCAACCTATAAATGCCCACTGCTGAGCAAAGGCTCTTCTCACACGGAGAAGGTTTGAGCATTAATCACCACGCTTGCTCAATGCGGGTTGGCGATTGCAAACTTATAATTAGAAACCCATCACGTGGTTTCCTTCACCGTTTGTCAGTGATGTCTGAATCTGAATAATCTTAGAAAGTACATATAACTCGGAAAAAGTCACATTGGTACTTGGTAGGTTTCAAACTTGAACCCTCATGCATGAGAAATGGGCGTCTTAAAGCTCCGGGCCACCGCGACACCTAGGTATTTAATTAATATAGAAATACATTTTACGTGAAATTGCGATTAAAATTGCTTTTTTCTCAGTTATTTTTTATTAATCAACAAAAGAATTTGTGGTAGATATACCTACCCACTTTTTTCTACCATTCATCTTAGTTTGTCGTTCTTTGTCATTCACTAACGCGAGGAAACTGTAAACCACTTTGGTCCCGCGTCTTTTTGTGACTTCAGCGCCACTTTATTTTTAAGTAAACTATCTTTTCAACTTTAAACTTGACACTGGCAGTATAGTCGACAAGATCGTTTTAGAGACTCGTTTGCCAAAGAAGAGAAAAAAAAACTTTAACTTATACCACTACTTATACAGCTTTAATAGATTTCGCAGACCTTTTCTTCTTTAAATTTTCTACAAACGTGTCTATTAACTTTTGAACTTCCGCGCTTGATACGGTATTTACGCAGTTTGTTGTGTATTGTTGTTTATTTTGTTCGATTTTATCTAGGTAGTCTTGTCTGAAGTTGCGTTTAGCTAAAGTTCGGACTGTCACCGATATTTGATCGTACAATCGTATGTGAGCCTTGCATTTCTCTATTGCGTCTTCTTTATCTGCTGCTACTTCGTCCACCAGACCCACCTAGAAAGTAATATGTAATCTTTTTTAGCCATACGTACAAGAAGCAACTAAGCATAAAGTCAAATGTCTAAATTAGTAGATAAGTTTAAAGAAAATAAATTGTCTTTTGAGTAAATTAAAAGATGAAAATACATTTTATAGAAAAAATATTCAACACTTCTTTATACCCACTACGCAACTCTAAGAACATCGATTATTATAAGTTATAATTTATAACTATCTAAGTAATTATGAAATCTAGGAATAGGTATTACTGTCTATTAAGAACTGAATTTTAATACCTTTAATAATAAATAATTACCTACATTTTTATACCACAAAATATAGTAATGTAAACTTTAACACGTTAAACGCCATGGCAGTCACCGGTGACCGACATTAGCGGAGGATTTGCCTTCAACAGTTTTTTATTGGCAGCCAATGCCTTAATAATAATCTCATAATATTGACATAAGCTTCTGAGAGACTTTGGTTCTACACAGGAGTTTAACTCTATAGCAAGGTAACATACCTGTAAAGCTTTCTCAGCTGAGTACATATATGAGCTAGTGAGAGCAAACTCCGCGTGTCTAGGCCCCATCACTCGGGTCATCAGCTCACCCAGCCATGGAGCTGGTGGGATACCAAGTGCAGTGTCATTCAACCCCATGACAGCCTTACCAGTCGTCATTACGCGGTACTCAAATGCCAGACACAGTATGCAAGCCCCGGCTGCTGCGTAACCCTAGAAATAAAGGTCGCAGATTGTTGTTGCTGGGTTGGCGCCCGGACAACTAACGGTTGCTCAATACAAAGTAAACTTGATCACAGACCTGCTGATTTCATGTCTACACTATCTAAAGGTTGATTCGGGGACAATATCTACCTAAGGTATTAAGTCCGTCATTGTAGATCTTTTGTATTATATTACAACAAATAAATAAATAAAACATCTTTCTATCTCTCAACTTTGACAATAACGAGGATTCCTCGTACTCGACCGCGATATTACTGCCAGCAAAAAGACCTGACTATAGATAGAAGATGCATGCATACTACGTTTGATGATATGGAGGTATTGTAAGTTGAAACTTTGGTAAATGCTTCATAATTTGAGTGTTTTTTATAACATAACATAACACCACGCCTTTTATCCCCGATGGGGTAGGCAGAGGTGCACATTATGCCACTGTATAATGTAACACCCACTTTTCACTATTTATGTTATGAGTTCCATGTAATAGGGGGTGAGCCTATTGCCATATACCGGGCACATTTCCAGACTCCGTGCTACTACTGAGGTTTTTACAATCCCAGTTACTTTTATTTTTATGGAATAGGAGGCAAACGAGCAGACGGATCACCTGATGGTAAGCGATCAGCGCCGCCCATGGACACCCGCAATACCAGAGGAGTCACAGATGCGTTGCCTTTAAAAAGGAATACGCTCTTTTCTTGAAGGTTTGTTTTGTTTTCTTTGCCCGACCGGAGAATCGAACCCGAAACCCCTTGCCCGGCAGTCACACTTGCGACCACTCGGCCATGTTTTTTGTATGATATGTAAACGAACAGACGGTTCACCTGATGGCAACCAATCGAAGTCGCCCATGGCCACCCAAAACACCAAAGGCGTCACAAGTTACAAGTGCGTTACCGACCGTTTGGGGATTAGGAATTTGAAGGGATTCGAGGATTAGGGAGAATGAAAAGGGGATGGAATCGGGCCTTCGGTAATCTCACTCATACGACGAAACACCTCGCAAGCGTTGTTTCACGCTGGTTTCTGTGACGTCGTGGTATCAATGGTGGAAGCATGGTTCTCTCACACTTAAAAGATATATACTACTACTGACATTAAATAAAGTAGTGAGGAGGCATAATTCTTAAACTTATTTCGACCTCTGTAACCACTACCTACATACTTACCATATTAACACATTCGACAACAGATAATCGGAATGGGATAATAAGGTAGGTAGGTAGCTAGGTAGGCAAATACTCAATACTTTTGATCGACAAAATACTTACTCACTGATAGACAGACGGACGGACAATTTAATTTTTGACGTATCATAAGTGCCTTATTAAGGATTAATTGAAATAATGCTTTAACTTTGACTAAATAGGTAAGTACTCACATTGATCGCAACTGTTGTTATAACGTCGGACCCAAACAATTTCACGAAGACATCAAAAAGAGTCTCCTTCAGCTTAGTCAAACGTTTTACATCTGGTTTGTGTAACTCATTTAAGTCGATTCCCGCTGAAAATATCGTTGGATTTGCCTGAAATTATAACACTACCCTAGGATTAATAAGTCAGTAAATCTTAATAAGTAGGTACATACTACATACCTAGGTACTAATACATTAAAATTATCGCATCTAACTTAAGACTATCAAGGTCTTCTTCTTAATTGTTTATTTTCCTCAGTGTCAGCAGTTCGTCACAGAAACATTATGTCGTAAGTTAGAGTTCATAGAATACATAAGGTTATTAGGTTGCTCATGCTTGCCTAGGTGCTGCCCATTCATGAAATATTTTAAATAAATAAATAATATAAGTAGGTACCCACCGATGCGAAAACTAAGCCTTTACATTTATTTTTTTCAACTTCAATCACTGAATCTTTTATCGCCTGAAATAATTCCAGGTTTAAACTGTTCACTGGTAGTCTCTGCATCTGCAGTGTTGCTATTCCTTCATTGTCCACGTCTATCGATACTAAAGGTGCCACTTGCGAAGAGTTCCATCGTGAACACGCCACAATACTCCTCGGTATGCGCCGTAAATGAAACATTTTGCAACGAACACTACAAACTCACTTGTTTATGTGCAACTTTCCGATGTTTGCAACAAAATATATACGTCTTACAGTTTTTTTGATAAGAATTAATCCCGGTTTGATTATTGAGGGTATCAATAAATACTTCCTTATCAAAATTTACCCTTTTAAAATTATTTTTCTGTTGAACTTGCTATATACCTTGCACTTTGTTTACATCACGGTAATAGTAATTAAGTTGTACTTATGTTGTGGACCTTTTGATGTTTTGTTTGGTTTTCTATGTGTAATCTCTGCGGTGTATGTTTGTTTCGTGGTTGGTACAGCTTGCAGTGACATCAATCTGAGCGGGTTCCTGGTTGGCGCGCGCTTGAATGTAATCTACATTTTATTTACACTATACACTATACATTATTTATATTACATACTTTCGTTTACACCTATATATTTTATGTTAAAATGTTTTAAAGGGCGGCTATATTACTATATCGAATTTGTTAATGTTTATTTTACACACTCATACACGTTTCTTTACCTATTAAATAACGGCTACTTTACTGTATCGAATTTGTTTATGTTTATTTTGCACACCCATATACTGGACTCATTTTTGGACTGTTTGAACCTTACTCAGCTGATGCCTACGCCGACACATTTTACAAATAACAGCTCGTCTCCAATCGATTTGGTGTGTACGGACGCAAAGGTTACTAATATCTCAGTGGATCCGATCGGAGCACTCGGGGCGCATTCGTTCATTTCCACAACCTTCCAATTTAAAAAAGAAAAAATACGACCTATGACCATAACTTGTAGAAATATTACACATCCCTTTTTATCGTCGATGTTAGTTTTTCAATGTAATATTCGATTGTTTTAATAAAATCCAGGACGATTTGGACCTTATATCGGTATCGGAATCGGCTGCATGCCATATCGAGGACTGCAGCGCTTTTGTTAAATTACACAAAGATTCTATGTCACTTCTCTGTCAAAATATAAGGAGCATTGTTAAGAATTTTAACGACATGCTAACGCTCATAGAAAGAAGTAGAACGTCTTGGGACTTTATAATTCTGACGGAGTGCTGGCTTCATAACTCACCTCCCCTACCAACAATTCATAATTATAACTGTGTTGCCACTAGTCAACCGGAGACGCAGAATGAGGGTGTCGTGGTGTTTTATAAATCCCACCACTCAGTCTCAGTCTCTGAACCCACAGTTCAAGATGCAAATTGTCTATTATTGACAATTAACAGTGATGTCGTTATCATTGCAGTATATCGGTCGCCAGCCACTCGGAATGCTTCTGCCTTTTTGGATTCTATGAATGAGGTACTGAAATCCGTATCCTCCTATAATAACATAATAATGACCGGGGATATTAATATTGACATTTCGGATAACAACAATGACTCTTGGGCTAATGAATACCTGACTATGTTTGCTTTTCATGGTATGTTACCGGCACACACTCTCCCTACGCGACAAGGTACCTCATGTCTTGATCACCTTATGCTGAAAACGAGAAAACCTGCTTACTGTTACATAGCAAATACTTCGGTAACTGATCATGACACTGTGTTGTTTTTTCTCGAGAATAACAATTTTTGCAATTATTCTCGAAGAAAATGGAAGTTTACACGTGTTTTTAACTATGACAAGATAACTTCAGACATATCTCAGGCTGATTTCAGCCCAGTTTATAGCTCCTCACAAGTTAATGATGCTACAAACTACTTCATCAACACCCTCAGCTGTATTATTGCACAAAACTCTTTCCTAAAGGTAGTACCGAATCGTAAAAGATTGCGCAAGCCTTGGATGACCGCAGGGCTCCTTAAATGTCTGCGTAATCGTGACAATTTACATTTAAAATTAAAAAAAGAACCTCTGAATGATGTTCTAAAAATTACTTTCAAGAGGTATAGAAATTTTTGCTCAAACATGATTAAAGCTGCCAAAAATGCCTACGATAAAAACCAAATAGATAACGCACAAAAAAACACTAAAAAGCTGTGGGAAGCTATTAAATCCATCACAAACACATCCAAACTAAAATCTTCTGCCGATGCTCTTGTATCTGCTACAAATCCAACACACTCTGTTAATGAAGTTAATGGCTACTTTGCAAATATAGGTCGTACATTAGCGGAAAACATTTCTACATCTCATGCTTTACCTCGCCCTTCAACTGTCAACGATACCTCCTTTCCTAATTCATTCGCCCTATTAGAAACCGATGATATTGAGTTGAATAATTTGATTGAGAATCTGAGAGGTGATTGTGCCGCGGGTTGCGATGACATATCTGGCAATTTTATCAAAAAATACAAGAGCTATCTTACTCCCCTTCTGTCACATATATTTAACCTTGCCTTTACATCCGGGATATTTCCAGATGCATTCAAATTAGCAGTAGTACTTCCTATACACAAGGGCGGCGACAGGTATCGTCTTAACAATTATAGACCCATCTCAATCTTACCAACCCTGTCTAAGTTACTTGAGAGGCTTGTGAACAGTAGGCTGGTCAAGTTTCTTGAAATAAACAGCATCCTCTCCTGCTCTCAGTATGGTTTTCGTTCCGGACTCTCTACAGGCCACGCAGTGCTAAACCTCACCAACTACATCATCTCTAACTTGGACAGGCATCAGAGGGTCATAGGTATCTTCCTGGACCTAGCTAAGGCGTTTGATACGATATCTGTCCCCACTCTTTTAATTAAACTTGAGCGTATAGGAATCAGAGGTATCCAGCTTGCGCTATTCGAGAGTTACCTTACTGGTAGACGCCAACGCGTTAAAATTGCTGAATGGTCTAGCATCGACCTTCCCATTACATACGGGGTCCCCCAGGGCAGTATCCTAGGTCCTACCCTATTTCTTATTTATATAAACGACTTGTGTCTTCTGAAAATACCTAATGCATCCATTTTTTCATATGCTGATGATACTGCCCTGCTATTTCATGGTGACTCGTGGGAGTCGGTTTATCTGCATGCACAGGGTGGTTTCGACCTTGTCACCAATTGGTTGACCCACAACCTGCTCACTTTAAATTCAGATAAAACGAAATATCTTACCTTTTCCCTTTCAGAGGCCGGCAAGTCCCGTTTACCCTCCCTTCCATTAATAGCACACTCTTGCAAATTACATCACAGGTCAATCTGTAACTGTCCCCGTATCTCTCGTGTCGACTGCATTAGATATCTGGGTGTACTTATTGACGATTGCCTGTCTTTTCGTGCTCACATAGACGCGCTTACCTCTCGAGTCCGGAGGCTAATTTATGTATTCAAGTCTCTCCGTCATGCTGCCGATACTAATACTATGCGGCTTGTATATTTGGCTCTTGGTCAATCAATTATGGAATACTGCATAATTGCCTGGGGCGGATCTGCTAAAACACATCTTTTAAAACTAGAACGTGCACAACGTGCACTCCTGAAAGTGGGCTGGAAGCTACCTTTCCGTTTTCCAACCACAGATCTTTATAAAATTTGTAATGTTCTCTCTATACGAAAATTGTTCATTTCGAATATTCTTTTGACTACTCACTCCCAAATTAGTTACGATCCGACCATGTTTGACGGTAAACGGCGTAAGCATAGTGTTTGTCCTCCTTTTTTGACTAATTGTCGATCTGCACAACGCAGTTTCCCTTTTCTTAGCGGCTACATATACAACAAGGCAAACAATATACTTAACATATATCCTCTGTGTAAATCTAAATGTAAAAAAACGGTCAGGAACTGGCTTCTTGACATGGACTATGATAGCACTGAAGAATTACTGCACGTTTTATCTTAAATCTCGCATAGGTACATTGTTGGGTACTTCGTCGTTGTCGGCTTTCGGTAATGTCTACATATTCTTCACAGCACACCAACTTACATACACAAACACACAACTTCAGATACACTCACACTAAAGACATGAACACTCACACACTGTACATTCATTTTCACAATTGACAAACACATTCTCATCATCCATTCTCATATAATCCACTCTGGTTTGGTGTTGGTCTACCCTCAGACCACGGAATTTGTTTCTTTTTATTGCTTGTATTCTATTGCATTATAATTACCTACTATATTATTGTGACATCGGGTGTGAACCTGGAGATCTGTCATACAGGTCTTGAACCCAGTATAGACTCCAGCTCTCACAAAGGTTGAACCTATTGTAACTTAAATAGTGATATAATGTTTCTATGTATGTACCTTTTTGAGAGAAATAAATTCCTTTATTATTATTATTATTATATACATAAGTACCACTTTTTTTAGTATTTTTGTTTTACTGCAGTCCGTTGGTAGGTACGTGTCAACCTTGACATATTAAAGCCACGATAATGCATTTATGCTAAACATTCCTATTTTTATGTATATATATATAGCATCGACCACTACATGTGCAAGTAGAGTTTATATTTACTAGTTTATTTTTCAGTTGAGTTTCTTAACCAGTTTTTAAATAAATGTAACGATACTGTTTTATGAGAAACTAGATGAAACACGTTCAGTAAATAATTTCATTTATTCAATTCAAGTTGTTCACAATAAAAAATAAACGAGTATAACAACTATTGCTTAGCTTAGCCATTCATTCTTACAATATAGGGCATACATGATTAGGTATAGTTGTATAATTTGGAAAAAAAACATAATTAAAAAATACTTTCAATCAGAGCCGTATTATCCCTAAGGCAAACTAGACAAGTGCCTAGAGCGCCAGGTTATAGGACCCGCGACGCCGCGCCAAATATATTAAGGGCGCCTAATGAGGTGCTTGCCTAGGACGCTCTATAGGTTTAATTCGCCTCTACTTTTAATAGTACTACATTCATTTGCCACCCTTCTGTTTCAAAGCCTGTATGTACATTTCTAAAGATTTCTGCACTTTAGGATGGCCCACAAACATTAAGAACTCTTGAGTATCTTGGGTACGATTTTCCATCATCCATTTTAATGGAGCTTCCCTAATCTTCTGTTTGGTTAGGAAACGAGCTAACGGTGGGATTTTGTCGAACTTCTTGATAAATTGCTTGCATTTGGCGACCGCATCTGCTTTGTCTGATGCAGTTTCGTCGATTAGACCAACCTGAAATATTTTTATGATGTACTTAAGTTACCAATTATAAATGATGCACTCAAAATTATGAAGGAAATGGTTTCAAAATAGAAATGGAAATAACGTAGGCATACAATTTATTTAGGCTATTAAGGGAAAATTGATAAGGAATAATATTGTTAAACTTTATGACACTGCTTTTTTAATCTTGAGTTTATTATCTGCTGATAGCAAAATGTGTAATGTAGGGTTCGCAATTAATGTTTCCATTTATTTAATATAATTATTGTAAGAATATATTTGATAAATTTTAAAAATGAATTCATCGTCACTCCTAGGCCTACATGTATTTATTCAAGTGGCATGGTATCAAAATCGAGAATATTCTTTATTTTAAAAAGATAAAGAATGTTTCATTCATCCCTGTGATAATTATTGACACCTTTAGAAGGCACTAAGGATGGCTTCGTTAGTCGAATTAAGTTGAAATTGGTGTAGTCAAACTCAAAAAACATCTAGAAAACAAATGACAAAATAGAACTAAACTATCTTTAAAAAAACTGTGTAGCAAATCACCTTCAAAGCCTCGTCGACAGAGAACATCTTAGCAGTAGTAAGGGCCAGCTCCGCTTGCCTCTGTGGTATAGTGTTGACCATAGTGTGCATGAACCAGTTGGGAGCCACGATACCAAGCGCCGTCTCGTTCAGACCTATGCTGTATTTCCCACTCATCATCACACGGTATTCACAGGACATTGCCAAGAGACAGCCACCTGCTGGAGCGTGACCCTGGAGAGTGGGATTTAAGAAGTTAATACTTATCATAAAAGTCTTTTTTTAAACTAAATGTGTATACTAATACTGTAGTGTGTGTAATTGTAAATAAACACTGTCAAATAAATAAATAATAAAAGCAGATTTACATAATGATTGAATAATGTGTCTGTCGTTCAATGTAGGTAATTCTCTCTTTGATAGGTTTTAAATAGGAATAATTATTTGTCCAAAGAAGTCAGAATAATTGATGCATATTGCGACAAAATGTGTAAGGTGATTAACAAATTTGCACATGTTTCGACATGACACCATTCATAATTTATGGAAAATTTTATAATCGGCACATTAAACTAACTGAAAAATAACGAGATGGTGAAACAGAGCCTAAATGAATGAAACTACTCGCATCACACTCGCATAATCATTATTACCATCAGCCGGAAGCTGTTTTTTGCTGAACAAAAGCCTATAACTATAACCCTCATAGCCTCATGCAATTAAAAAGCACAATATGCTTATCAGTCACTCTCGACTTGGTGAAATTTTCTACAAAACTATGAAATTCAGATAATCACTTGATATAAATCCCCGTTCATACAAAAGTAGTCTCTAAAAATCGGGAAAAATAATAAGAGTTAATGGAGAGTGGGCACCGATGAGAGCTTGGGGATTCATTATCTAATCACAAAAGTAGTACTAAATAGCCATGATGACCTAATTCTTACTTCAAAATTAAATAATCTGACTTAAACGATTATACTAAAAACTTACATTTCACAATCGGATCCCATATCAGCATGTAAACAATAAAATAAAATGTTCATGTGATTTAGATGAACTAATTACTTATTTATTTAAATACACCTTGTTTTACATGTTTCAAATTGGTCTGTTATCATTAGTGCAATGCAGTGGTAGGGTTGTACAAACAGTTCCATCCAATTTACTTTTTTTTTATACATGTATGACAAGAACATTCTTCCTTCCTTGACAGGCTTCATTTTTATACATACATGTATTTTATATCATTTCCGATCTGATTAAAATATGGAATTTCTAAAAGCTAGTATTAATTTCAGTATTCTTTTATTATTTGTCTGTGGTTACTACAATAGGTACTTTATTTTCTGTTTGTTAATAATTTAACAACCTTAGTTTTTCCCTCAGATATTAAATGAAGAACCAGGTCAAAAATATGGTAGCAACTAGCAACAAGAAATTAAATTTTAGAAATATAAAAATGTACTTATACAATAATTTATGAATTTACATAAAATTACAAAGAGTTTTTAATTATGTGGGAAAATTTTTCATTCAAAACACTCATGTTTTTGTTTCTTTTTTATTAAAACTAAGGTAGGTAAGTTGTTAGGTTTTTTTTATTTTGGCTATTGACTATTTTATGACCAAATTTTTATCATAGAATAACCAGGTTTATTTGTTGTTGATAGTAAAATATACCTAAATAATGAATTTTTGATAGAAACTTTTCAATTAGGTAAATATGAACAAAATTTTCATAATAACATAATTATCCTAAAATTACATAGGTCATCTTTCTCAAATTTATTAATGTCATAGATTGCAAACTAAGAATATTTTTCATAATAACTATCGTGAAACATACTAAAATAACTAAAAATTGCAGGTTACTCACATGAATATATTGGGAAAAGCTCTAGTATTCATAAAAATATGTAAAATCTTACATTGATGGCAGCAGCTGTGATGAAACTGGATCCAAATAGCTTGGTCCATACTTCTTGTAATGTATTCCAGAAAGTTTCAACCCTCTTCATATCTGGTTTATACATCTCCATTATATCTAGCCCAGCAGAGAACACAGTAGGTGATGCCTAGAAATTAATTTGTCATTTAGGTATTGAGTTGATAATGGCTTCATTCCATTTAAAACTAAATTCAAAAAAACAAGTTAACTTTCATTGACACTTCAGTATTAATTTGAAAATAGAACATTTAAAAATATTAACTTACAGATGTCAAAATCATTCCCTTGCATTTGTTGTTGGTAACTTCATCAAGTGCCTTGTCCATGGCTTCTAGAAGGTCCAGATTGAGGCTGTTTACCGGCAGCCTCTGCATCGTCACAGTTGCTATTCCTTCATTGTCAACAGCTGTGTCCACCAGAGGGCCTGAGCTAGACATAGCCCTAAAACTAGGCACAACCCTTCTGGTGGCATTGCTAACTAACTGCCTTAGCGGAAACATTCTGCAAATAAGAAATTACTATGAAGAATGTTCAACTAAATCCCGAAAAAAAAAATGTTAAATGTTAGTTCTGTGTATCAAATCGTAAACTGATTGAGGTTCCAAAGGTTAGGTTTATTTATATGCAATCTGGTAGACAATAATACTGCGAAAATAAAAAGATAATAGGTTTAACCTGTTTACGAACCTTGAATAGTTGAGTATGTAACGTTATGTTTGGTTCCAAAGTCCAGAATAGTAGTTTATCAAGTGTCAAATTATTGGACTTTGTCCCCTCTTTGTAAATGATCCGTTCGCAACCGGCATCCGTTTAGACTTTAGACAAAATAATTTAACACACAACACATATGTATACATTATATAGGTATATATGTATTGTTGTACAACGCAAACCAGCCTCGTAAACGGAAGTTGTTTTGACACTAGACTAGTGAAAAAAGAGCGGCAAATTTTAATATTATCACATCATCCAGCCCATTTCAGCCCACCAATAGCAACCTTATCTATTAGATATCTATCATTCACATTCACCATTATCAATCTTGTTTCATCTTTGATATTTTTTGATGATTGAAGATGCTAAATAAGATATTGAGATGTCTCAAATACTTTGAAGTATTTATAGTGAATATTCCAGGGTAACACGGAAGCTCAATATCAAATAGTATGATAATAAAATAAATATTTATGATAGTGAAATGTATCGGTTTAGTAAATAATACTTGTTAAAACCATCAACATAATTTTGTAACATTGATAAATGCTACTTTTCGGATCGGATCGGATGACTTCTTCCGCCTGGGTGAGGCGGTCCCGTTCCTACTTACTCCTGCCCTTCGAGCCGGAGCCCCGGCAACCCGTTAAGTCCTCCGTGGCTCCGTATCGGCATCAGCCCTATTGGGGCCCATCCGTGGTGGTCTGATGGCTCTTTAAGGGGCGCGCGGGACGCGACGCGCTGTACGCTTGGGTCTGGTTCTGGTCGGGCGGCGAGCTAGCCATCCTCGCCGTCCGCAGGCCCATGCTTACGGTGGCCGGAGATCGTCCCACGATCCACGAGCGACGCCTAGAGTGTCCTTCGCGACGGCTGGGTTGTAAGGAAGGAGATAGCGCTTCGCTCCCTCACGCACCCCGCCTCCTCCTTAGCTAGCATGACTGCTTCGCAAAAGGAGGAGACGGCATCCCAGGCCTCTTCGCTCCACATCATGGCCCTGACTAGGGCCGGACGCGATAAGGTCGCCGCCGCCGATGTGAAAAGTGCTACTACGTCAAGTTTTTACTAAAATGGTACATATTTATCTACTTCATCATCATCAACAGTCTATACAGACCACTGCCCAGGCTAGCCTCTTTTCACACGAAGAAGGTTTAAACATTAACCCATTAAAGGTCAAATAAAAAGTACCAATATTTTTTATTAATTTTGTTTATTTTCGTAATCAACTGAGAGTATAAGAACAGTAAATGCGAGAAAAAAAATGGAAAATAGTATTTTTCATGATAATTTAGGTGTGTACTCAATTGGGTACACTGACCACCTAAGTATGAAAATTTTTAAAACACGATATTTCTACACAGTGTTTTAGCACGTTTTACATTGCCAACGTAGGTACTCTTGAATGACAAAGGACACATCGTAGTTGCTTTTAAATTTTTAGTGGATAGTGTCCAACTCCATTTTGCAGGATTGCACATTTCCGCCACGTAGGGTTTGATTTTGAAGTAGATTGGCGGGCAACGTAAATAATGTGAAAAAAATATCGCACTACCCTCATATAATTTATCAATATAGTTAGACAATTTTATAATGAATTAAGATAATAGGGTTACTCTACAAAAATATAAGAGATATTAAGTTTATGCGTAGAATTTTAGGTGTACTCATATGAGTACAGTGACTTCTAATGGGTTAATCACCACGCTTGCTCAATGCGGGTTAACGATTATAAACTTATAATTAGAAATTATAAGCCCAGGTTTCCTCACGATGTTTTCCTTCACCGTCTCTTCTCTATGGATAATCTTAGAAAGTAAGTATAACTCGGAAAAAGTCACATTGGTACTTGCCGTTGGTATGTTTCGAACCCGCACCCCCATGCATGAGAAGCGGGAGTCTTAATTATACCTCCGGGCTGGTGGGCGACATTACCTACCTAATGCTCATATAACAGTGATACCTATAGAGTTTCGCATCTTGGCAAAATCTCTATCCCTGATCATTAGCTGTTCCTAATGATCCAGAAGTCGCGATTTCGTTGTGGGCTTGTTATAGGCACCTATCGTTATGTAATGAGTCTCCAAAAAGGGCTTGTGCTGGCCTCTTCGCGGCATATAAGGTATGATCCTATTAGGACATTTATCTAATGGAGAGCGCCAGCAGGGGAATCTATTGGAAAAAAATGAGAAAAATAAGAAACAAATAAATATGTACTTCAATGAACGTGGTTTTTTAATGTCAATGTGTCACATAACTGACAGTTTTGGAAATCTGACAGTGTCAACATAGCAGTTTTCTGTCAAGTGTCGAAGTCAGTCGGCTTCAGCTGTCATTTATTGTCAAAATAAGGGTAAATTACAGATTAAAGTGACTTCTAGGTTTTAGATTAGATTTATACTGAAATTATTTAAATAATCGATAGATAATTGCTCAATATGTAGTATAGTATAGTTAAGATTGATGTTAATTGTTTGTACGAAAGAAAACAAAATGTCGTTAGAACAAACAGCTTGCGATGGTAAGTGTTCGTTGATACACTGGATTTATTTTTATTGGCGCCGGAATTAATATTGTGAAGTAGTATAATTTATTGTGAATGTTTTTTTAATAACCTTACATTAATATATTGTTGTATTTCGATTTATAACGTAACCTTCAAACTGTTAGTTATTTCAATTGTAACAAAATATGTTGTGTGGTTTCAGATCTAAAGGCTTTCGAGCGACGCCTGACTGAAGTTATAGGATGTCTGCAGCCAGCTACTATGAGATGGAGAAGTATGTGAAGTTTCAACTCCTTACTCTCTAACTAAAATCTTTTGGTTGTTATGTTCAAACATATTAACACTAAGGATTATTGTTAAGTTGTTAATAATCATAACTAAATTATTTCATGTTTGTCTAATTCTTAAGTAAATTGTAAAGAATATAGTTCCTATTATAAGAATTCTTTAACAGAATAGACAATGGTGCATCATAATATCATAATATTGAATATTTGTGCATATCTTGATGAATGTTGTTTTCCTGTGTTTTTGCTTTTAGCTGCTATTATTAGACTTGGAGTAATCTATTTAGATTCTTATTGGATTACTCAGCAATTCTTAAGTATAGAAGGATAGGAGCCAACCTAAAATTGTAATTATTATAATGTTTTAAAAGAAATTAGAAAATATAATTATGGACAAGAAATCATTTCTATAAGGAAATATTTTTTATCTATTAACCAATGTGGTACATGTACATACTAGTAGAGATTTTTTGGAATAGTTCATGTGAGAAAGCTATATAATTCAATTAATTTTAAGTTAGCAAGTAGTTAAATTCATTTTAGTTATGGGGTTTAAAACATCACACTACTATCAAAAGAAGCAGAGCAGAGAGGGTAACACCTTGCGGATGTAGCTAGAATAGTATAGGTAGCTAATTATTAATTTTCTTTTGGTTTCAGTTTTACTGACAGTGGTGTCAGTGTGCACAGCAATAGCGGCTTACCATTGGTTGATGGACCCGCTCACACCAGTTGTCTCCCTCACACAGTCTCTCTGGAATCACCCGTTTTTTGCCTTTACCTCCACTTTTCTAGGTATGTAAACATATATCTTATAATAATTATCGTCAGATATACTATATTAATTTATTAACTAAAAATCGCGGGTTACTCACGTGAATATAAACTGAGAAAAGCTCTACTAGTTTCGAACCACAGAGGGGTTCTTCCTCATGAGCAGCGTGCGCGGTCGCGGCGATTTCGTGCAGCCTACTACGTACTATGTAACCAGCGATTTTTAGTTAGTATATATCTTGTTATAATTTCCAGGTATTTATTATATTAGGTAACTTTTACCTACAACTTGTTTTGAAAAATGGTTGCCTGTAAAGTCGTTTTTACGGGCGAAGATTTTACGTGACAACGTCTTTTTCTCGGTAGAATATTTATTGATATGAATATAATTAAATTGCACAATAGGAACAAGGAATTGAATGAACTAGTGCTGCGCGCGCGGCAGACCGATCATAGTTGAGTGGGAGAGAGACGCAAGGCATTCGGCGGGCCTCTCTCTCGTTCGGTGACTCATCGTAACGTTACCGAGCGTTACACTTTTCCATAAGTGACTCCCAGCCGCAACCTAATTTAAGACGTTGTCACGTCAAAAGTGTAGCCCCCACTTTAGGATTATCTCCTGTTGTGAGTAGCTAATTAACCTATTAAAAATCTATAGATTTTGTTATCATCTCAGATTAACCTACATTTACTATCATTTCGCATTTTGAAAATTATGACTAAGAAATGTGAGTTAAAATCCCTCTCCGAAAACAAACTTGTTTTAATATCATTTAGATTTTATTGTGCATTACTTTCTACAATACTATACTAGTTTAAGAGTTATTTTTGATATTTTCCAGTATTGTTATTCATGATGGGAGTGCACAGAAAGGTGGTAGCGCCGAGCATCATCACGGCTCGCACGCGCTCCGTCCTCAACGACTTCAACATGTCCTGTGACGACACGGGCAAGCTCATCCTCAAGCCACGCCCCGCCAACACCTAGCACATCAATGTACATATTTTTTAAGCTAAGAATAAATTGTTTCATTGTTTATACGACTTTTACTTAAAATAAAACAACGGTTTACAAGAATCTATCCAAGTTTATTTATTACTTATAACTTTGGTGTGTTTATTATATACAATAAATAAATGATAACTAAGAAAAATAGGTCTATCATACAAAACCACCTTAAACAATAACAAAATGTTGCAGTTCAAATAATACATACAACAATTTCTCATAACTACATAGTAAATATTATGTTTTGCATTTTATTAACTTTCTAGAAGAATTTACTAAACATTTTGCTAAACTGTTAACAAATTCCGGTGCTATAATAAATTCTGAGTAAACAATGCAAGTAAATTGTTCAAGTTTTAACGTAAATAGTACTATAACGGCTTCATTCTACTCACAAACATTCATGGCGACCTTAGAGTCCCTTCTATAATTTAATGTTCTACAATCATAAGCATTCAATACTTTTAGTTCCGCCCATCTAAACACTACCACTTTGCTCAAAGTATGCTTAGACTCAACATGGAGTGATTGGAATTATTATAATCTTGGAATAATTTTAGAAAACTTATTTATTATTAAAAAAATATTGTATAAAATTTACTTATTTGGGCAGTGTTAATTTAGGGAACGATATTATTATTCAAACCTTCAATTCCTCGCAGTAAATGCAATTCGGAGTGCACATCTGAGTCGTACATCGTACCTATTCATTGCAAGCAACAGTCGCAATTACAAGATAATATTCAACAAGGGTACTATATTTAAATATAATAATAACTATAATAAAGTATTGTGCTGACTGTGCATCATATAACTAACCGTCCTAAGTTAATAATTTTACTTAATCTAACATACACATAAGACAAGTGTTTGTGCTTAGTGATATACTGACAGCTATGTTAGGTATCAATAAATATGAATTGAACAGGTTAACAAATAAGGTTGTTATTATCATTTGTAAACTTAACATTAGGGGCATATACGACGAGTCAAATTTTCTCACTGATTTGAAGACATTTCCATTACCTACAAATTAAGGTAAAAATGCGCAGTGGTCGACAGGATAGTCGAAAGTTTTGGCTCGACGTATATTCACACCAGTCAGATTAGCGACCTTCAATCTTATAAACGATTTTCAGGTGAGTGGCAGTAAAACCAGAAATGACGTAACATAAGTCAAACTGTTTCAATCTTCGTCAAATCGTTCGTATAATAAATTCCGTTTACATTTGCGTACTTATCTCGGAGTTGATTAAACACAAATTTCAATCTGATCAATAGATCGAGATCTTATTTACGTAGAATTAATTCGACATGCAATTGAGCGTAATCAGCGGCTTTAAATATAATTAAAAAATATAGTGTATCTCGTTCCAGCACTCTGCCTAGCCAGTCAAACTAAACTGGGATAATGATGTAAATACTTATAAACTTGTAAATAAACAATACACGCTTAATCGTTATACTTACATATGAGTTTATACATCAAATAGTGAATCATATTAGGTACATTATTCCTATAAATTTCAATTTAAAATTATTATGTTAGTTAACATCAAGGCAGTGGTACATGCATAAATTCAACATTGTTAACACGACATACTTAACATTTTATAATAATTTTAGAAAAGGCATGTAGTTACTCATATCTGTTTAAGGTACGCCCATTTCTTTCATTCATTAAGGCATATCATGATTCATACATTTCTGGTTTCTTAATTAAAAGAAATGGAACTGTATCAACGAGAAACTCAATGAAATATTCGCGAGTGTCTATCTCAGTCTTTTAAAAAATAATACATCGCACGAATTATGTAGTGAGCGAAATAAGTAGATAGTTATTAACGTTCTGAATAAATCTTTGGAACCGAATACATACGCAGGTTGCCCTCCAAGTACGGAGATGTGCGTAACAATAAAATTTGTGCTAAGTATACAAAATTTACAATATCTATTAATACCACCCAACACTGGGACCAAATGTTTGTTGAGTACATCTAGCAATCATATCCTTTTCACCTAAGTATCAAGGAAAATACATAATACAATGACTAATTACCTACCTAATAACGTTATATCAACTTCACAATATAAATCAAATGTTAGCATTCTGCGATACTCAGGTGCATTATTAGAAAGGATACGCCAAGGTACTCATCTAAACAATAACAATAAATTCTCGAATGAATTGCACTAATAAATTGTGTGGTAACCAATCAATATGATCCAAGGCAGTTTTATATCGTAGAATAAATGTAAATAATACTCATTTTCATTACATTATACGTTAGAGGTGTCTAAGCCTTCCTATGATAGTTTATAAGCTAACTTACGAGTTGCGACTGGCAGCTAGACTTCTGTAGAGACGAAGAGGGTCCAGTGAAACCTTGCATGAACGTGGGAGTGTAGGGATAGCTTCTCAATATTATAACATTTCACATTTTTGCTTTTAAAGCAAGCTAACTACATAACGTAAGGAAAATATAATTTTGATAGATACATTAAATTTTAATATCTATTAACGTTTCCGAATTTAGTAAGAGTTAATTGAAACCGTAGATAATAATAAAATACAGGTTCTTATATTATTGTTCACCCGTAGGAATTATAAGATAGAACAATATTTAGACGACACGTAACATTCTCTCATCCAAGTGCCACAGTGTATGACCATATCTCACAATGATATGATTTTCTTATTTCTCAGGAATTATTAGCGACTGCCTCGTCAGATATAGATACAGTTACCCCTATCTATGTTACAATGGAAATCTTATGTATTACATTAAACGTTCGTTATGTCGTGGTCCATCGTCATTCGACGTTCAAAGTGTAGCGATGAGAGACGGTGTTAGACGTATACTAAGGTATGTATCGCTAAGGAGCAAAATAAAGGCGTGCCAACGAGGTATCCCCACAGGTAATTATTGTCGCATCATTCCCCACAGCAACATGCAAGGCTCGAGTGCTGTCCTCACGCAGCCAGCAGCGTTCTGATGTTCTTCGGCGTCGACTGGTGGTTCAAATGTTTCGTCGTATACCTCAGCGCGTTCAGCAGGGGCTCCGCCTTAGTGGGGGGCTGCTGCTGCAGGAACTTGACGCATCCCTTCACGTCCACAGACGAGGAGCGGCAGAAGGCACCGGACGGGTGGACCCAGTCGTACAGGATGATGAGTCCGACCATCACGCGCAGAACTAGCAGCGACGTCTCTTCGCGACTAAACTGAGCTACCAATTTCCTGAAAATTAATAAAATATGTGTCAGCTTCAATCTATTTATATTAATTTATTTAGGGAAATAAGTGTAATTAAATACCGCGGTCCGGACTCGGGTGAATGGCTTTAAACTAGAAACACAGATTTGTGTAACTAGCAGAATATCTTGAATGTCCTAATTTTTCGGGTTAAACACACGACATGCGCTTTGATATGACTATGTAAATAAATAAGTTCCGTTCTTGTTTGTTTTGGGTCTCGCGTTATGTTTACGTAAAGAAACTGAATTTACGACACAATAAAGCTACATACGACTGGCGTGCTGTGGATTTGGGTCGCCGCCCACGGGCTGTCGGATCCCGTATGCACCGCACAGACAGGTACGTCCACTAAACTGTACAATGCTGAATGTTACTTGTACGTTGTACCTTTATTTGTGCACGACGGAAGCCACGTCTGCTAATCTGAATAACAGCGATTCATTTCGGAAGTTTTGTTAATTCATAATCTAATGTTCTACATTTGGCCTAATAACAGGAACAATTTATACCTACAATGTTGTATCTAGTTCCTGTGCTGGAATTTAATTCCGGCGTGTTTCAAGCAGTAGGTGCTTACTATAGCGTAATATTATCACATCACATAAATCAACTAAATTTATCTCGCTGAATATTCAGTCGCTGGGAGAAAATGTTTAGACGGTTAGTTTAAAGTTACGCAGTCTTACGTAGCCGTACCTACTGGATGAGTACACAACTCTGATGGTTTTATCGTCTTGTTGCCGACTATCTAGGCATCGAACGACACCGATATCACTGGCTGTCTAAATGTATACCTTAGAGCACTCATCAAATATGCACATACATTATCATTTGAATATAGCAAAGAAAAATATTCCGTAAGAACATTGTTTTATTTGATAAAATATTGTAATATTCGGCGGAGTTCAAAATGGGGAAAGAAGTAAATGAATAGGTAGGTAACTGCCAAAGTCAAAACTGTAATCACACATCACTTATAATAGTAATGAAGTAAAGTAAAGCTACATTAGTTTCGAGTAAATAATTTTATTACGGAAATAATTAGATCCTGAGACAACACGAGCACGGCAAGTTTTAATTGGAGATTCAAATTTGACTGTTGACTATTACAAGCTCCGGTTCAGTACAAAGCGACTGGCTGACAAATCGGTGGACAAAAAATGGCGACAATAATAATTAATTCTCATCACGTCTGTATTGTCACTTTCAATGAAGGAACTGCTAATTTTGTATTTATGGCGACGACGAATCATTCGAGTACGTCTAACGTAGGTACTTACATTTCATACATTAACCTTTGTATCAATCAACATATTTCGACTAATTCAAAGAAAATTCAGACAGAATCATGTTACATTACAGTGTGTCATAGGATATCATTCCGTTCGTTTACAAAGATAACGACTCTATTCTAAATTAAATAGGACATGTTTTAGCGTTCCGTCTCCGATGATTCAATAACGTTGTCATTTTACCGTTTACGTACTTACTTAAGTATTTTATTAGATAGGAACATAATTCTAGTTACACAGTCAATGAATTTTATCGTCAAAGCGATTAATGAGAAGGATAATAATAATCATGTTTAAGGACATCCGGATCTGTCCATTAGTAACGCAATGAAAAAGGGGTGCTATTACGTCTAAATATGAAAGGCAGAACGAACAAATAGGTAGTATCAATTATGTAGTACATAGTATCGAAGCCACATCATAACTACATGCTACAGCGCGGAAGCGGTCACTTGGGGCCAATCGATGCGAGGTAGTGGACGAAATTACGCGTACAACCGGAGGAACGCGTATGGTATTGATAAGGAAGTGCAACAGAGGAAACTGTTATCTATGGCTTAATTAAAAACGTACATATACCCGTCAAAATGCGTCGAAAGTAGAAAGCGAACTGTTCATAACAAACCGAACGTAAAATACAACAGAACAGAGTAACCTGTACGAATGTTTAGTCTGAAGTGTTGGAACTATGTAAACAAGTCAATCCGTAACCTAAACAGACAAAAACTTGGTGTTCAGCCAGGAAACACTAACAAAAGAGAACAAAAAGCGTAGGAGGTCACTTAACACGAAAGGTACTCGACTGGGGCTTCGAGAAAGTCTCTAAGTAATTGGGAAATAAAACTTGACATTCAATGGCGCCTGTACGTTTACGGCGATGCTGATGTAACAACATCATTATGGCTATAACGGCATGTGCAATTAATCCTGATACGATATGTGATAAACAAGACACATGTTTTAGTTATCAAGTAACATGTGGCGTAGGTATGAGTGTCGACCTCCACAATTGATTTATTGTCTCGGTTAATTTTGGAAAACTTCGCCGATATCACGAAAATAGTCAGAAGTTGAAAGCAATCTAAGGAATTGCTTTCTACTCGGAACTTGCAAGCGCATTTCCGATTACCACCCCTAAATAGACGAGGGGAAGGGTGGTAAATTAGTGTCTCAGTAGTATCTGTCCAATCGGCAAATCTCGGGGGAGATACGATATTTGATAGCAATTTAATATAAACAATACAGCTATTTATCAAGCTCTCTAACTTAAGTAATCTGAACGAAAGTAATTTTGTCAAAAGCTAAACAGAACAGTAAGTTGTTTGAAACTGTGCCGTAATTATAACTGAAACTTTTAACATTTGGACGTCCGCAGGCTCACAAATTGGTCAGGGTGAGGACGAGCAAGTTTGCGTTAATTAGTAACATGATAATGTCAAAATGGAGTGGTGTTGAGTACACGGAGGATGGGTGATTAGAGTGGTCGTGATAGCTAACGAGAGTGGTGCGGCGCACTCCAAACATGACTGGAAGCACGTGTTGGTACAAGTGACAGCTGATTTATCTTTTATTTATATGTTCCGACGTTGTTGTGCTCTGACGGTGGGTCGAGCGTATCGATGTCGTGGCTCGACACACGATCTCGTGTAATGAATACGCCCCTATTGTTGCAAGGATAACTCGGACAGCACACTGCGGTGACGCTACTACGCACTACCGTCCTAGTGTTTACTTTACCACCTTTAAATAGCTACTGTTCACGAATAAAGAATTTTGTTACAATTCCGATAATACTTTACAATAAAAACTAATACCTTCTATTAAAAGCAACAAATAACATGATATTCGTTCCAAATAACAGTAGTACAATTTCGTAGAAGTTCTCAAAGTCCATTAATCGTACTATACAGCTGTTACCCCAGCCAAAGGAACTCGGAGACAGATGTCAGAAAATAAGTTTAAGAAATGTTTTGTTCAACATTGATCTACTGAACTAACTTCGATAAAGTCTGGACCTATCGGAGTTTGACGTAAATAGATTTTCGAAGCTGAAAGCTATTACAGGTGTACCATATTGCGTTGGTATAAGAGCTAAGTTCGTAAATCAGGTTGTAATATGAGAATAGTTTCTCATAGGTAGGTTTATAGTGTCGGTCTAGTTTGGAAACGGCTGGAACGGGAGTATTACGACTCTTTTGATCCTCATTGCGAGCCTTGTTCTGGATACTGGTACAGTGTAAACATTGTTATGCCTTGTTGACACCATTTCTTGTTTCATTGCTTTGAAATTCATCTACTATGAATACTTTAATGTGAATATGGCGCAAAAAGAAGGTTTATGTGTAAAAATTCTAGGCTAGTAAGTACTTATACAACTTCTGGGCAAGACCAATGGCCATTATAAATTCGAAAACGTGCTGAATAGTTTCTCATGGGAAATTGGGAAAGATCACGTTCACGTTGAATAGATAAAAAGAAAATGGACGAAGGTCTATTGGAATTCGATTGTAGGGAGTATCGTGCTATAATAAGAATCGCAGTCTATTTATTTGAGGGTTAATAGCTATGTGGTACAGTCGTATAGTGTGGGATAACAATTTTGACCAACTCGTCTCTTCACGTGTGTGTCGCACGAAACAAAGACTCCCCGGATCGTGTGCGCGCCGGCTCGCACTTTGGACAAGTTCAACCATATCGAGTATTTGTTTCGTACGTGGTGGATTCCGCTTGCGCAACCCACCACGACCCCAAAGTCTGAGTCCTGACGCAGCCCAAGAGCCGACCAAATATACATTACTTAACTATAACATAATACTACATTTGACAGAAACTGGGCAGCAGCGGTCTCTGGTCAACTTGTATCTTTCAAATTACGAACATTCCTCGCTTCCAAATCGTTAAGATCATGGTAGATAGAAAGAAAGAAAAACCGTTTATTTTGCTACGACACACAATAAGAAGATCTCTCTTATGTAGAAAACTAGGCCCTTATAATTGTACCACAGGACTATGAAATTAAATATCAATGTACTTACGGGTTCTCCAACATCCTGAGGCAGACTTTAGCCATAGTGCTGAGGGTTTCCGTCGTATTTTCCAAGTCTTGCTGGTTATCATTCACGAACTGGCTGGTGGCTTCTGATAGCACCTTTAACATCGGTGTGGCTTGTGCGTAGAAGAGGGACATTCTGTTGGCGACCTCTGCCGTTATGTGAGGCTCCTCTCCAGGAGGTAGCTCAGCGTTAATCAGCCCGCCTCTCGACACGCTTCGTCTGTAGTAACTAAAGTCGTTTTGTATCGCTGGTGTCTTCATCTGTGGAAACAGAGGATAAGCATTTATTTATTGTAATTATTTCTGTCTTAACTTGGGCAAAGAATTATTATTGAACGTGACTTTTGATATTCCCAGCAATAGTAGAAAGTTGGAATTGCACCTGATATGAAATTAGGGCGAGGCAATATATATTCCGGAATGTCGTGGTGGCCCGGAGGTTTAAGACGCCCACTTCTCATGCATGAGGGTGCTGGTTCGAAACCTACCAACGGCAAGTACCAATGTGACTTTTTCCGAGTTATATGTACTTTCTAAGATTATTTAGACACCACTGACAAACGGTGAAGGAAAAACATCGTGAGGAAACCTGGACTTATAATTTCTAATTATAAGTTTGAAATGGCCAACCCGCATTGAGCAAGCGTGGTGATTAACGCTCTAACCTTCTCCGTGTGAGAAGAGGCTTTGCTCAGCAGTGGGCATTTATAGGCTGTTGATGATGATGATGAATATATATTCCAAGTATATGAGAGACATGAGACTAATCATATTAGTAGTAGAAAATGGGTCTTGTGATTTAATTCCCTGTCTGCCCCTTTGGGTCGTTTTCAGGGATTAAAACAAGTTATTTTCTAAAATATGCTCATATTAAGCATAAAAATTCATTTTCCAATTTATTTGAACCAGGACCACTTTAGCAAGGGTCATGATTGAGAACGGACCCCTTATTCATAATGAGACGATCCACTCCGATCGTTATATCACTTTCTCATAAATTGATGTGACATCCAAAAGCTTCGCCATTTTATACAGAATTTTATATTTTAACCTTTTTGGGAGCCATTTTGAACAATAAAAATGTCAACGTGCTGACATAATGATGATTAAATTCGACATGTGGGCAATAAAAGGTACTTTTTGCGGTACACAATGAGGGGGTGGGTAAACTGGGTAGGTAAATACAATGGGCACGCAAGATTATACTTTCTAGATATGAAGGGCGGACAATGCGAAGATGAATTAGGATGCCGCCCATTCAGCATTGCGGCACTCAATCAGCCACAGTTCCAAGCTACAAGCTAGTAATTTTACGCGCACATATTGTGGATTATTTTTAGTAGACCACACGCAAAGAGGAACGCGTGCGCTTGCGATTAATTCGTAGCGAGATAATGCTTTAACGATACATTGTCTGTTCGTGTTGTAGTATCCATTCAAACCGCATTATAGAAACCTTAAATGCAATGCAAGGCAAACCTTAAATGGCAAGGATATAGCAATCTGTAAATGTGTAATTAGTAGTTTTTCTTTGAATTTCCTTCTAAAGATGATGTGTTATTATTTCAACATGATGATGTGTTATTATTAGTTGACGTTTCAAAAGTACCAAATTATGGTTTAATTGAAATAAATGCTTTTGAGTTTGAGTTTGAACAAGTTAATAACTTAATATCAACAGAATGTACAATACTACAGCCTGGATGATGTATGATAGATACATGTGTGGTAGTCATGCTTTAACTCGTCGAGTACCGGTTTTGTAGACACAATTATAGAACAATAGGTTGCGGTCACTGGTGACCGCTTGGTGTTTGGCAGTTTAAGTGTGGGAGAGCCATGCTTCGGCACAAATCTTTCAGAAAACCGGTTCGACCGAAGTGATACAACGGCCTTACAGAAACGACGTGAAACAACGCTTGCGTTGTGTTTCGTCGTGTCAGTCTCCTCAATCCCCGAATTCTCCACAATCTTCAAATTCCCAATTCCCAAAAAGCCGGTAAAGGACTTGTAACGCCTTGGTGTTTCCATGCGCAACGCCGATTGCTTACCAACAGGTGATCCTTAATCTCGTGTACCGGCTTATGCCATAAAAAAAAATGTGGCATCTGTGTGTAGGTGCAGGTGAAGTTTACGTGCAATGATCTTTTAATTAAAATTTCTGAGCTCAAAATATAACACAAGAACACCAAACATAACAATATCAACCATTGAATGAATTATCGCTGGATTTCAACTTTAATCCAGAAGGATTAGGAAATCTTATCACAGAAATGTAAACTAGTCTCCTAAATATTTAAATTTTTCGTTAGATATCGTAGTCTATGTAAACGCACACGGATCTAATCAAGTACGGCTAATCACTGTTCCTAATTTCGTTTACATAAGGCCGTGTCGTAATCCTATCAGGCTGGTAATAACTGGTAGCTTATAATGAACCGGCCGGTCCAGGCGGCTCATTAATATTTGCTCAGTAATTATATTAAAGCAAAACAAAGAAGTTCAAAACAGTTAACTAGAAAATCTAGATTGGAAGATAGAATAGCACAGAAGTTCTAAGTTTCTGATGAATTAGGGCATGTCTCTCCACTGCCAAATAAGTTTCCGTTTGCTTAACTGACACATTTCTTACGTCAAATTATCTATCAATTATGAAACTTTAACAAGACCTCTTGAAACAAAGCCTAAGCGTCTAGGAGCTTAGATCGAACAGTAAAGAGCAGATAGATACAAATTTCACGACAAAACGAATAGAGACCTTTAACAGATTAGTCGATTAGTAATCGAATGAGATAAAGAATTTGATTTGAATAAACTGTGAAGTTTTTTAAACTTTCACTCAAGAGACAATAGAAGTCAAAAGGATAGTGTTTTGATAACATATCCTGACGTTAATACTATTCAATGACCATGTTTTTACATTCGGATTTCAATTGTTATTATCGATTTCTAATTACGTCGTCAAACAACTTGAACACTTGTTACGAGTGGTATGGCCATATTGTATGTAGTGCTAGTCATCGATCAATGTTCCAAGCTATAGGTTTACCCAAAGACGTTAAATTATGCACAGGTCTTACGTAAAGGCCTACGGGCAATGCCCTCAGAAAGGGTTCAAACACTTTGATTGTAAGTAACACGAGACACTATTATTCGTGCCTATAAACAATTCAGATTAAACCTTATACTCCACAATTTAATCGATTTAAACCAAATAGAATTTCGTAACATAAATTGAACGATTAATCTTAAGATCGAAACGATTTTACTAATCGAATTTCTTAGCCGAGATCCGATTACTAGAAGACACCATGTAGCAGTTTTCCGCAAATGGTATTTGTTCGTAGAATAGAAATATCCGAATAAAGTTGATGGATGTAATTTCAATGAGCATAAACCTAATTCTTTCTAGTAGACAGTAGACGGGGCGTTTTTAATGTTATTGGAAAGATAAAAGAAGCAATGGGCCTAGAAGTACATTAGCATAATAGAACAACAATGATTACTTTTTTATTTATCATACTTTGATTACTTTAGGTAAGAGTAAAATGTTGGAAAAATAACGTTCGAAGGTTTTATTAGAGTAGACGTTGGATGTTATGATTCAGATTTGTATTAATCAATATTTATGATTTAGCCCAACCCAGACAAAGGTTTGTTGACGACAATTTTAAGCGAAGACGTTAAAAATAAAGATGAAAATTTTACCAAACATTGAAATAACTCAAAAAAAGTACCTATAAATAAATATTTTGAGTAAATACAAAATTGGTACTTTGGGATTGGGACCTCTTCGTTTCCATTAAACGAATTCTCGAAGCGAAAACAGGGCCTAAACCAACATAAATTTAGACACCATTTAGAGTTTCTCGGAACGTTATTACCAAATTCTGGTCTTGTTTGGAGTGACAAAGAAATACACGCAAATAAATCGGATGCAGGCTCGTGAGTCACCGGCGAGGTCGCGGCTTGCCAAGCCTCACCTCGCTTTCTATACAATGCCTTCGGAAAATGTTCCCTTATATACTTGATGACTAACATTTAGATAGCTTCGTTCTAGATTAATTATGTCGATAGCCAGACAACCATTACGACCAATACTAGTCATTATTATCTAAACATACCATGACCATACAAGGATATTTTTGTAGCCTGGTCTGATTTATACGCACTAAAATGTTCTGTTGTGAAAGGGGAAAACGCAGATTGCAATTTATTCTTGTCAGGAAACTAGATGTATGTATGTGCGTTTGTAGCTGTACACTTATTTGGCATCAGAATTTGGGATTTGCAACCAATAATTTAAACTAAGCCGTCTTTATAGGGTTTGCGAGTGTAGTTCCCAGTGTAATTAAACTTAAACATAAAAAGTGACTTTAATTAAAAGGAATGCGGAGGATTCTTATAATAACACATTCAATGTTACAGGCAATAGAAGAATGAACAATGGCGAGTATGGCGACCTATTTTGTGACAACATAACGTGGGGACGCATTCACTAATGGATTTGCTTAACGTTGTCGTGATGGGATAGTAAAAAATAATAAATAATTCCTCGCGGATGTTCGTTGGCAGTTTAGTGGTGGATGCTTTTACCACCTGATATTAATACTCCTGCAAAAACCTTGGCGGAACCTTAATAAACGTTTTAGTAAATTGGGCCAAGGTCGGTACAGGTAAGCCTTGTGTCGTTCATAATTTTTCTACAAACTCAGGGGTCGGACGGACAAACTTTATGATGATAACCTATGATGTTCAGATTTCGTGTTTCTTCATGACATATTCAGAAATCTCTTCAGAAATCTTCATGACATATTCAGAAATCTCTTAAATAAAGGAATTAATTATGATATTACATATCGATACAGGTACATCAAACGGTTGCACAAAATCTCCTCCTTGTTTTATTGAATATGGTAATTAATTTCATATTAACCTGTCTTATCCTGATTCTATGAGGAGAATAGTTTCGCAAGTTGATAGGAGTCAGTGAACTAGGAGCAACGACACAGCAAGGTTGGGGTCAAAAGGGCCCAGCAATTGAATTACTTGCTGCATCAGATACACTGGGAACGACCGCTCGTATGATTGTGACTTATTGTTTGTTATTGGTTACAGTATAAAGAGCAAACATTACCTCACTTGTGATTGTCCGATTACACGTTGCAAATGCAACTTTTACGTGATTATGTGCTCGTCGACCTTACGCTTATAAGTTTTTTTACTAAGATATCAATAAAATCAACATTGTGGAGTCTTCTGCATATTCTATCCAATACGCCTTGCGTGGTGGTTGATACTTAAATCTCCTACTTGCGACACGAGGCCTTTGTTAAGCATTGGGCACTTATAGGCTGCTCAATATTCAACTTACAAACTTTGGCATAACGTACTTTTTAGGCAACTTCGAAAGAAATTACACCCGCCTAGACTAACAAATGCAAATGTTGCAAATAATATTTTACATAATTATTATTATTACATTCGCAATTATACACCACTATTAGATACCTACACTGACCGCGACCATAAAACCCAAAACAATAGTTCCTAATCGTCGATTTATTCCATTCTAATACCAAAAACTAATACCACTGGTATTTGTTTCAACTCATATTTTTTTTCTATTCCGAACCGATACCATTGTTTTAACTAATACCAAAACAAGTTCAAAGATATAAGGTACAGTCAGTAAAAATGCTTTGTATGTAAATATAAGACCTTTAATTGAAAAAAAAACAGATAACTCCAAAAAAATCAAATTTTGGTAGCAAACGTCAAGACGTTTGAACAAGTTCAATGATAAAATATCACTTAAATAATCAACTTTAATATAATTTTAGTTCCTCTCTATACCTGTATAATATTTTTTTTTTTGCAAAAACATCAAACAGGAAGAATTTATTTACAATCTTAAAATTACAAAAAATCTCAAAAAATTAACTCTTAATTTGTATTGAAATTTATCTGACATAGTTATTATTAGATAGGTACGTAATTATTCACGTCTACTTATCTCATAACAACTATGTCAGGTAAATTTTTAACAAAAATAAATCACTTTTTATCTAACAATTGTAAAATATCACAGAAAATCAACTTTTTGTATAATCAAATCAGTCATTCATCACTTACATAGCAATTTTTTTTGCAAAAACGTCATATATGAATAATTCACTTATAATCTAAGAATTATAAAATACCACAGAAAATCCACTATTAGTATAATCAGCTAAATGACGTGTAAATAATTTCTTATATTTCAACAATTAGTAGCTAAACCCTTAATTTTTCTAAGCAGTGACCTACTTAGATTTTGTTTTTGAGGAGTTGGTTAGTTACGTATGTGATCCACGAATTTTTCATAATAGTTGTCTCTGCACATCGTTTTGCGGGGGGTGCGTTTGATTTATATTGAGTAACAACCACGGTTTGTAAATCTGCGTCCTCTTTCAGCACGTTCAGAACCTGATATAAATTAGCATTCTTTGGCACAGCCGAGTTTAATTTCTAATGCCAAGATTCTACGGCATTTGTGGTTCGATGGCGTTCACCATAAACGCACCAAATGTCTACAAAACTCTCGTTCTCTAGCCATTGTGACACCATGTAGTCATTAAATGTTTGAATGGCGTCAGTATCAGGACAGTCTTCCATTATGTAGCACCATCCTTCTGATATGAATTTCCGAGGAAGTAAAGGCAGTAAAGCTGAAAGTCTTACGTGTCTTTGGGTGATAGCATCTTTTGTCAGATCCAACTGTTTTGCTTTTTTCCATACATTTTTGGAATAATGAAAGTAGAGGTAGCATCCTTTAATCACAACTGACGGAAAAACAATTGTAATGGCGTTCATTGCGGCTAGTTCAAAATCTGTTAAAAATTTTACGGGTTCCCACCCTGGAATGTTTTGTTTCAAAATTTCAAATAATTTTTTGAACGTTTCTTCTGTTTTTTTGTTAAGTAAAACATAAATAAGAGGAACTATACGAGTGTGATCTTCGTCACTTCCCAGATCTCCGTGGATAGTATATTACGATTACATAAAAGTATTGAAAAACAAATTTACTTTGATTAGGTTTGACTGCGCTGACTGTACCAAATTCAAGTTGTTGGTATTCGTTCGTACATTAAATTAAATTATTTAAAAAGTAGTATCCGTTCGGAATAGAAAAAAATTAAGAGTTGAATCAAATACCAGTGGTATTAGTTTTTGGTATTAGAATGGAATAAATCTAATCGTCGACATAATGAAAGGATTCATTAATTTTATAATTTTGTTACCTTCCTGTTTTGAAACATGATAGATACACTGTAACAATAAATCACTTGATATGTACATAATTACAATTCTTTGTAAATAAAGTTACATTAGAAGCATTTTTAAGTAATGAAATGTATAAACTTAACACATTTACAAAAACAAAAGTTAACTAGACTCGGTTGTTTGCGACCTAATCAATGCTTTAGATCCGTAAAGTATTAGACATAATTCCAAATAATCAACACAGGTAACACATGGACTATGTACTGTTCATGGATCTCAAGCCAGTTTCATCCTTTCACTAGTCTCATATTCAAGAATATCGACCTAATTCACAGTTCTGCATAACATTACCCAACCATTCGTGCATGGGCTATCTCGCGTATTTATGAACCACTTTGCATTAGATAATTCTGTAATGCATTTACCATCCAGCCTAACGGGCTAAACGCGGAATATGTTGCCTAACAACTGGCACAAAGCAACAGCTAAATAAATTACGCAGTGTTCATGTAAGAGATTAACATACAAAATTATGACTTAACCCAGAAAGTAGGGTTTGTCATAATATAATAGTTATAGCAGCGGGACGCGTGGGTAACCGCTAACATGCATAATTGATGCGACACACTGAAGGTTCTTGCGAAGATAAGCTCTGTGGTTTGATACAAAGAATAGGCGACACGTCTCGACGTGGGTGTTATTTAAGGCAATACATAATGATAACGATATTAACGATAAGTTGCCGCCACCCACTTCATCATACGTCGAGATTGCTGATAATATTGTGCTGAGATCACCAGGCTAACCCACGAAATGTACCTAATTGTTATAAACACTCATGAGGTCGTTCATTGTTTAAATCAATGGGGATACAAGAGGGGCTTGTTCGGAGTTCTGTGTACTTACTTTATATTCATCGAATTTGAGCACAAATTCTAAAATTTCTGCGAACTGTTTGACGAGAGCTTGCTGTTGTTCAAGGTGCTGCGTGGGACTCATCGCCCCGCCCACTAGCGAGCCCAGTAACCGTGGGACTACCTGTCGACAAAATAAAAACTCATTATTTTTTTTACTACATCCACCAGTTTTATCACACAAGCAAGGGAGGAAGTTTGAAAGAGGCCCTGATTCATAACAATACATATTTGAATACCAACCACGATTAATTAGATTCAGATTAGTTTTATAAGTAGACTCTAGTCAACTAACTGTAGAACTATTCTCTGCTGACTGAAATAGTGGTCTACCACTTTCAATCAAAGGAAAATACTTTTCGTATATCCATAAACATGGCCGTAGAAAGGCGGGGATGTGCGTCGGCTTACTTTTTCACTTGAAAATAAGAATGGCAGAAAAGTGAACAACGCTCATTTCGCTGAGACAGGTCTTATTGGCGGCGCTATTGTTGTGATACTCGCTGGAAAATAAGCAAAGCAAGGAAAATATTCCTGCTACATCTACTTCATAGTGTAAACACGAAAGGTCAGGTCTGGAAATACATGTTATATTCAGGTACACGATTATTTTGCCGAGATGTGTCCCCCGGGACCTCGGCTGTTTCTTTATTCTTACAAACAACTAAAGATCCTCCTGTAACTTCTTAAGATTGATGTAATATTCAGAGGAATCTTTAGATCACCTTAGGTTTGTGTTGTTTACGACTAAATGAGGAAACAGTTTAGAAATTCTGACGCTGGAAGTTCGTACTTCAGAACAGCTAGGTTATAAAGCAAATTTGTTTGGTTTGTTAAAGACCATATTTGTATAATTTGAATTGCATCATACTTAACGACCTATAGTGCTTAGAATTGCAGTCGATTTCATTCAATAACAGACCATTAAGTCCTATCAAAATATTTGTGTTAATATCAGAACAAGACATTTGGCTTCGTGTGACATGGTAAGCGAAACCGGAGCCATTGTGAATCGTTTTTAAACAATGTCAGGAAGCGATCGTAAATCAGTCGATTAGAGTGCGTCGTCGTTTATTGGTCGGGGAACCATTGCATCTCATTTTGTTATCATTTGCCCTGTTCCTGTTGTTTAAGCCACATTATCAGCCAAATTATCGGCATTTCACAATTCCGAGATAACTTATATTTAACTCTATAGATAGTAACAGTAATGTATTGTATTTATACTTTTTACGAATAACATATCTCCTGACGATTATTTACGCAGATTAATTCGAATCCTTGCAAATAACTAAATCATCTAGAAAACGGTAAAATAACGTACAATTGTAGTCTAGAGATTTATTTCTTCCTGTCTGTATCTAATTAAATAAAGCTCTGTGGACAATGTGTCAGAAATAATCAACACATCGGCTGATAGTTACTTTGAAGTGTAATTAAAGTTTATTCTTGGACATCACGCCATGAATGAGTAAAGAGCATTTGATTAATTAAAAGGCTAGTGTCCTACCCAGTTGTATGACGTCTAATACATATAAATCACTGTTGTTAATAAAGTAGAGAAAACGTGTATTATGAAAATTAGTATAAAGGTAGAACCGCGAACTTCACTATTAGATTCCTGTCACGCGAATAAAGCATAACTCGAGGATTTATTTCAGAGATAAAGTCGTATGTTTTCAGTTAAACTTGAAAGTAGAGTGACCTCAACCTTTTTATAGTGATTCATTTCTACATGGTCGTTGTCCTGTATTTCTTTATTTTACACTTACTACTAAACATTTCAATATTTTTGCTTCTAGAGCGCAAAACAATTAGGCCAAAGAAAAATAAATAGACACTATGTCAGAATACCTATGTTAGTCATTAAATATACAATATAATTTGATTTAGAATGAAGATAACTAACTGACCCAGTTGTCCTAGGAAGTGACGCTAAATGGTCAGACTATACGTCAGACAAATTGAATTCTGTTGACCTGAGAATGACGCATATTATTGCAATTCTGTTTAAATACTACGTTCAGTTAAAACATGTTATCGCAAAAGGGCGTGTCGTCGCCACAAAAATAACGTGTAAATAAAAAAATGACTTCCGAACGAAGTTCACAAGTAGGTGCGCATACGCATATATTAATTGGTGATTCATACAAATTAAAACGTGGTGAATCACGTGTGGAGAGGATGGTAAGTTTTTTTTTATTATCCCACCAGACGGGATAATTCTGGGATTCGTCGAAGATGATGTAATGCTGTAAATGGATATTTTAAAGCTGCGCACGCGTCGTAAGGAGATCGAAACGGTCACGGGAAGCACAAATGATCCTTTATATCCGTCAAGGTTGGAACCGCTGCAAAATTATTGTAACTGACAAGAGAATTGGTCATTGGCATAGATACGGTGGCAAGTAATACAAGATAAGATTACTTTGCTGTTGTATGGATTTAGGACAACAAATGTCATCTAAAACGTGACTTAACAGATGTCAAGGGATTATCTGTCTCTTTCTAAAAGGAGTGATTTTAGAATTTAGATATTGATTGGACGAATGTTTAATTTTCTTTATACTTAAACAGCATTTCAACCAGCAGCCATTTAGCCACAGGTTGCTAATATGCATAATTGCTTCGTGTATAAATTCTGGCATTCATGAATTCGTCTTAATTCTGTTTAAACTTGGAGTTGATTCCAACTTAGGAAAACAATTAAACACGTAACTAAGCTCCAATTCTCTATTAATGTACTGCATAATTTAAGAGGAAAGTAACTAGTAGAATTTTTATTATTCAAATACGATATAATATTTTCTAATGATTCCACTTTTTAAAATGATATTGGTTTCTTTTAACTGTAAACACATTTTTTCGATCGTATCTGCATTATGTTACAATTAAAGCGTTCAATAAAAAATTTCTAGCCCCGCAGCTAGACTTTCTAAGCTTACCAACCAAGAATCTAAGAAATAGAATAACAAATGACCCTGATCACAGTTAAAGTGACGTTTAAAATGCAACGCTTGGGTTGTTGCAACCAGTAACAGTGTTAAATAAGATCGTCCAATGATTACATTAACTGTTCACATTGCAGTACGCACCATGTAGGTACAATTAAGTGCTCACGCGAGATCAGTGCGGTAGTAATTAAATTAACACCATTTACCGACCAATTGCGAGATTTGAGCAATAAATTCTGCCAGATGGTTCGTATTAAAGCGAGAGCGACGAGTGCGGGTGTCATTTCACCTATTTATGGGTGAACGAGTGTCTGCTAGTATTACTATTTGAAACTTTCTTTATTTCAAAATGTTGCGTGCCTTATGTCTTATGCGCACATCCAATTTCAGTGGCTGTGTTGTTCGCAGTTTACTATGCCGAGTTGAGAAGAGGTCGCAGTCATGCTTGCTCATTTGAAATAGCATGGTACTTACTACTGTCATAAAATATCTGCACTTTAAAAAAAGATTCTTGTCTTTGTTCCTGTCCTTCATCTTAGAGAATCAATTAGGAAATGCCAAAGAAACTTTGATTTATTTTTATGATTGCTTCTAATAATCTAGCAATTGCAGAGGATGCTAAGGTGCTAACATTCCTCCATTTCATGCTTTCTGCATGCCGATGCAATTTTCTCAGTTTTTCATGTGTTTATTAGTTAATAAACACTAAGTTATATTACATCCAGCAAACAGAAAGCATGCATTCTTATATGCGAGTGCAACGTACTCCATGCACCATTAACTTTGGTTCCACATCACGATCATCTGTCTCGTGGTCGTAGACAGCTCCTGTTAGACCTGATGAATGTATGCCTACTGCGTCATGCTACTGGCCAATTAGCATTTATAACGTTTATTAGGACACCTTGGTATTCATAAAACACACCAGCAAGTTTTTCCTCTGATAGAATTCATAATGTTACTCGATGCAACACGGCAACGGTTCTTCCAAGTCCGCCATTTCCTTTTTGCCACTTTTAAATTGAGTTGTGTATGCGTAAGCACAATTACAAAATCCATATTAAGTATTTTCGTAATAGTTATTAAGGTGAGCAACCACTAACCACCCACAATACACTAAATACATAACAGTGTGAAATTAATGAAATTCCGTTCTGTAACACCCACATAAGTAGCGATAAATAAAGGCATTGCACCCACCAGCCGGCGTTATGCTCAAACAATACGACATTAACGACATGGGTACACTGACGTGCCAATACTTGGTCCCAAATTTATTCAGTAATACTGCTTTGCGTGCGAAACACTACTTGTACGCAAACTTGGACGTGCTTTCAGGGCGCTGCATAAATTATGGCTGAAACTAAGACTGAAGTTGTTTTCATAGCACAGCGTTGAAATGTGAACAATTTTTATATGGAATAAAGTTCAGAGTCTTTAAAACCTCACGTATTGTAATTTATGCGCTATCATGACTACCCCTTGTTTGTTCTGTCGCTGCTTTGGAATGGCTCGCGTACTTGGGCTTTTCTAAAAAGTTTATCTCTATAAAATCTTGTTGGCATTCCATTGTGGTAGCTTAGCATTAAGACAAGACAAGTTCAAAAGAATATAAAGGCGCTTTTTAAGTAATTTCGCGTTGAAAAAATATTATGCTGTCCCGAACAGACGTATCTCTAAGTGACCATGAGTAAAAGATTATAAAATGGTTGATATTTTAATAACTACATTTTTCTGAAGGGTTTGACAGAGCGCAGGTGCCATCTGCAACAGGTATTGCAGACTTCAATCGCATGCCACCCGCCTTATTCACTTACGAATGACTAAGGATAATTGCAACAACTGCAAAAATGTCAGATGGTACAGAAACTTTTTATATATGACTATAAAGGTTAGTAGCTGCAGAACGTACAATTAAATACACTTAACTATTAGTAGATGCGGCGCACCTGCCCATTTCGAAGCACTTTATATACAAGCACACAGGACTTGAGAGCAGCTGGCAATCGACGAAACATGAACGAGTTAATATGTATTTTTAAAGGAAACGCACCGGTCATTATTTACAAAAAATGTTCTCACTTACAGCCAGAATAACTTGTATAATGACGGTGTTGTGGTATCTTTTTGAACAATTTCTGCGAAGTAACATCAAAGTGTCATTGTACGG